AAATCAAATCAAATCAACTATGCTTAAACTGTGTTTTTTGAAAAAAAAATTTTGTGGGAAATATGTAAAAAAAAATTTCCTGTTAAAAAAAATACAACACCGAGACAAAAATATGCAGACCTGCACGGATCCGGATTCAAGTGACAACATTTCAACCAAAACATCGAAAAAAAAACATTTTTGCTCTTAAAATTAGTTAGCGTCAACCAATGAAATTGAGAAACTTATAAAATTTTTGGATGGTTAATTCGATTTTCGGCAATTAACGAAAACAGAAAAATAAATTTTTTGAACTTTATTTTTTATCCAGGATACAGTCCTTTACTCTACAGGACGCATCCAGGATACAGTCCTTTACTCTACAGGACGCATCCAGGATACAGTCCTTTACTCTACAGGACGCATCCAGGATACAGTCCTTTACTCTACAGGACGCATCCAGGATACAGTCCTTTACTCTACAGGACGCATCCAGGATACAGTCCTTTACTCTACAGGACGCATCCAGGATACAGTCCTTTACTCTACAGGACGCATCCAGGATACAGTCCTTTACTCTACAGGACGCATCCAGGATACAGTCCTTTACTCTACAGGACGCATCCAGGATACAGTCCTTTACTCTACAGGACGCATCCAGGATACAGTCCTTTACTCTACAGGACGCATCCAGGATACAGTCCTTTACTCTACAGGACGCATCCAGGATACAGTCCTTTACTCTACAGGACGCATCCAGGATACAGTCCTTTACTCTACAGGACGCATCCAGGATACAGTCCTTTACTCTACAGGACGCATCCAGGATACAGTCCTTTACTCTACAGGACGCATCCAGGATACAGTCCTTTACTCTACAGGACGCATCCAGGATACAGTCCTTTACTCTACAGGACGCATCCAGGATACAGTCCTTTACTCTACAGGACGCATCCAGGATACAGTCCTTTACTCTACAGGACGCATCCAGGATACAGTCCTTTACTCTACAGGACGCATCCAGGATACAGTCCTTTACTCTACAGGACGCATCCAGGATACAGTCCTTTACTCTACAGGACGCATCCAGGATACAGTCCTTTACTCTACAGGACGCATCCAGGATACAGTCCTTTACTCTACAGGACGCATCCAGGATACAGTCCTTTACTCTACAGGACGCATCCAGGATACAGTCCTTTACTCTACAGGACNCCTTCCAAAGCTTCCATAACAAGTTATACCTGACTCCAAACCCTTACAAAGCTTCCATAACAAGTTATACCTCACTCCAAATCCTTCCAAAGCTTCCATAACAAGTTATACCTGTCTCCAAATCCAACCAAAGCTTCCATAACAAGTTATACCTGACTCCAAACCCTTACAAAGCTTCCATAACAAGTTATACCTGTCTCCAAACCCTTACAAAGCTTCCATAACAAGTTTTACCTGTCTCCAAACCCTTCCAAAGCTTCCATAACAAGTTATACCTGTCTCCAAACCCTTACAAAGCTTCCATAACAAGTTATACCTGTCTCCAAACCCTTCCAAAGCTTCCATAACAAGTTATACCTGTTGACTCCAAACCCTTACAAAGCTTCCATAACAAGTTATACCTCACTCCAAATCCTTCCAAAGCTTCCATAACAAGTTATACCTGTCTCCAAATCCTACCAAAGCTTCCATAACAAGTTATACCTGACTCCAAACCCTTCCAAAGCTTCCATAACAAGTTATACTTGACTCCAAACCCTTACAAAGCTTCCATAACAAGTTATACCTCACTCCAAATCCTTCCAAAGCTTCCATAACAAGTTTTACCTGTCTCCTAATCCTTCCAAAGCTTCCGTAACAAGTTATACCTGTCTCCAAACCCTTTCAAAGCTTCTATAACAAGTTATACCTGTCTCCAAATCCTTCCAAAGCTTCCATAACCATGAGCGCAGATTCCATCATTCTCTCCAACCTCTGGTCATGCCCGTTAAACCTGGTCAATAAAAATACATTAAAGGGACTGTACATATAATTTGAAGCAATTCTTTATCCTCTCATAATTCTTGATGCATGTATATATAAGTCACAATTTTGTGCGTCCTTATTGCTTGTCATTTAAATGCGTCCTGTGTGTCTTTAATGTGAAGTCTCATGTTCAAATGAATTCTTTTTTTGCCACATTTGTATGATAAAGTGAAGAATGTCAGCCGTTTTCAAGTTAATTAGAGAAACCCATAGGGGGGGGGGGACACCCTTCCCCAATCGTGAAAGGGTTAAAGGGGCTGTTTGCGTAATTTAAAGTGACCCTCCATCACTGCAAACCAAGAGGTGCACGATCTCACACAAAAATCGAACAGTAGTTTGCCAATTACTCCCTTTAAACTTAAGCTAAAAACAAGCGCGTTGCAGTTAAAAAATGTTTATGTCTAGGGCTACTAAAAAGGCTGTTACGTTGAGCCACTTAAATTTTCGAGACTGTCTAAAAATTCAATGACAAAGTTTCAGAGTGGACTATATATATGAGTGCCATTCAAATATGACAAAGCATTTGTTTCAAATCAAGCGTCGTGAACAAAAGGGGGCCAATTTTTACATTTACACTGTTGTCACTTGGAATATAGGTTATTGGTTAAACATGGGAGACTTTGAGAACCATTTTAAACTTTTGATTTTAAGCTCGTAAGTTTGAATTTGGTTTTCGTCTAGTCTTTTAATAACATTAACTAACTTATTTGGTGTGAATGAATCAGTTTTACAGCTGCATGGAATCGTAAATGTAAGAAAAAATACAGAATAACACCAATTAATTCGTCTCTAGAGTCTCATCTTTTGTGGGTAACCCTGTAAATCAAGAAGGCCAACCTGNCATATCAATGGGTGTATACTAGTAAGGAAATAAGTTTCAGCATATCAATGGGTGTATACTAGTAAGGAAATAAGTTTCAGCATATCAATGGGTGTATACTAGTAAGGAAATAAGTTTCAAACATGATGTGACATCTTATTGTTTGTATTTGTCGGGAAACAAAGTTGTCCCTCTGATAGGCACTTAACTAAACTTGGAGTTTGGAAACCAAGTTTTACATGAGCTGAGACAATTCCTGTATTTCAGGTAATAATTGGGCTTTTTAAATCAAAACTTGAGTGTTTTAGTCGTTCTTCTATTTCACAGTTTTATGGGGTCATTTTTAGAAATCCTTCATGCAAAGATGGCAATGCTCGATTCACAAAGTTCCCCTTAAAAGCTTTATCTGATCCAAGTATGAATAAGATATCAATTTTTTATAATTTTGAAAATTTCAAAATCATCAACAATCTATTTTCAAGCAAGAAAAAACGACAATATCTTCCAAATTACTGATTAAATACATGTTTTATAGGTACCAATGTGAATCGAGAATTGCCATCTTTGTATGAAGGGTCATTTGAAATTAGGCTTACAGTCTCTTAACAATATTGCAATTTGCCAATTTAACGCTACAATTGACGGCCAAAAATAAAATAAAACTCTGAAGAACCCTCCGTTCGGATTTATAAAAACTAGACTTCTAATTGTGGCTCTATCTGTAAGCATCTTCTGTTTTTACAGTAAAAAACAACAACAAAAAAAGCTCGCGGATTTAATAATACTTTTTTTTTGAACAATTAAGATTTTTTCAAAAATCAAAAACTTTGGAAAACAATTTTTTGTAATCTTAAGCATCCATTAACCTCCCCTGGGGTCATGTAAGGTCCCACACGATATTTGGGCATGATCGGTTCAGCCGTTTTATCGTTCATTGGATAAAGACGCACGCACAGCAAAGTATATATAGAATAGATACAAAAATAATCAGTTGAATTAATAAATTGTAAAAATTCCAACTGTGTTGTTGGCTGTGGATATACCTGTAAGTCCATCAATAAGCCTGTTATCGTCAAGTTCTCCTGAGGTTTGGTTCTTCAACCAAGTTCTATCCTTGGATTTAGCTTGGAGACTTGACAGGATAGTTCGCAGGTTTTGTACCTGGCGTCGTACACCTTAACACAGGGTTACAGGAATACCATAAGACTTCAGAATTAATTAAGTCTATACTCTCTTTGATTCGTGATTCCCTAGAACTGTAAAGGAATTGAGTCTTTAGAACAAAATCAAATATTTAAACCTCAATATCTTTAGAACACGATGTTGTAAACCTTTGATATTTCAAACTTAGATTATTTGATCTAACAGAATTCATATTTTGAAATATATAAGGTCTACAACATTTGGTTCCAAAGATACAGTGACTAGAAAATCAGAGTTTGTGGCAAAGACTCAATTCCTTTATCGTTCTTTGCAAAATCAATTAATAAAATAAGAATTTAGTCTGTTCGTAATAACTATTTGTTCTATATGTAAAGAATCATTTGGCATCTTTTCCAGTATTAACAATTTTAGCTGTTAACCTCTGCTCTTTAGATTGTCATTTTTTCAATTTAAAGTCGAATTTCGTACAATTGTTCTGTACAACTTTTTCTATGTAAATCGTGTTTTGTGCACTGTTCTCTTCAAATTTCGTGCGCTGTTCTCTTCAAATTCCGTGCACTGATTTCTTCAAATTTCGTACATTGTTCTCTTCAAATTTCGTGCACTGTTCTCTTCTAATTTCGTGCACTGTTCTCTTCTAATTTCGTGCATTGTTCTCTTTAAATTTGTGCACTGTTCTATTCAAATTTCGTGCACTCTTCTCCTCAAATTTCGTGCACTGTTCTCTTCTAATTTTGTGCACTGTTCTCTTCTAGTTTCGTGCACTGTTCTCTTCAAATTTCGTGCACTGTTCACTTCTAATTTCGTGCACTGTTCTCTTCTAATTTCGTGCACTGTTCTCTTCTAATTTCGTACACTGTTCTTTTTAAATTTTCGTATATTGTTCTCTTCAAATTTCGTGCACTGCTTTCTTCAAATACAAAGTATACTAGCAAAGTATACATATGCAATGGTTGGCAATTATAATGTTACAATGAGGACAATGTTTTGATTGTTAACAAGCTTTTTTTCGATTTACAAGCTTTCAATCAAAGAGAAGCTTTTTTAATTGACAGCTTATCTTGACTTACATATTTATGTGTGTATCAATGCTGTTTAACAGCTTGATATAAAATAAAATAGATATCGAAAGTCGTCTTCATTGTATTGATATAATCGCCGCCCACTGTATAAAGAGATGAATTCCCAATGAAATGAACCTGCAGAGTATTGTTGATAAAGTTGAGCGTCGTATTCTGACATCTGGATCTCGCGCAGGCGCTCTTCAAACGCTTTCCTGTTCATTTGCCGCGCAGCATTAGTAACATGTTCAGGTACAGTACGCTTCTCAGCGTCAGATAACTAAACAATACACAATTTCAAGTTCATGATGCATGTAAAATAAAACTAAAATAACACATTAATTTATTAATATCTAAATCTTTGCAATAAGGTAATTGTGTAAATCTTTGTACATCAAACTTTTACAAGTTGTTTTACCAGAGGCCCAATTTAAAGAATTTGAAGCCGCTGCTCAAATATGGTGTGTTTCACTTAAAGTTGTATTCAAGATTTAAGCCGGCGCTCAATTGAAACCGGTTTTTGTCGGATTTGAGACGCGGCTCAAATTCATTAAATTCGGACTCAGAATTTATAGTTTAAAATATCAAAAACCTAAATGTCAAATTGCAACAACAAAATAAACAATTTATAAATGAGTGTCTTTAAATGGTAAACAAAGGAAAACGTTCCTCGCCTTAAACTTGAATTTTCTAATTGTCCTAAATCTTTGCAACTTTAGTATCTGGTGTAAATCTTTGATATTTTAATCTTTGACAATTTGATTAACCAGATTTCACAGTTTGAAGTATCAAAGGCCTAGTCCGTCAGATTGAAAAAGAAATGAGGATAAGAAGACGAGAGTTTGAGGCAGGTATTCAATCAGTTGCCTTAGAAGCTAAGACATGCTTATCAATAAAATATCAAAACATCAAAAGTTAAAGTAAAAAAAACTTACTGAAACGAGAATGAAAGATTTTTTTCTCATGTTCAAGTATTTTATATTTATAAAAGCAACTTTTTAAACTGATCTTTCCAACCTTTTCTACAATTTACGAATAAAGAAAATAGAGGGACCCGTAAAATTGTGGAATAAAAAAGACGACTAAAAGACTTAAGTAATGATCCCAAAAAAGTCCAATGAACATAAAAAAAACTGAAATACAGGCTCATTTCACTTAAAAACGTTGATTTTTAAGCTACAAAACAATTTGTTTCACAACAAAATTAAATACAAATAAGATTGCTTAAAAGACGTCTCCCACGTTTTCCACCATTTTGTGGGTCCCCCTGTAGCATTCATACAGTACAGTTTATTGTATGCTGTATATAGCACAGTATAGTGTATTAGTATAGATCTAAGTAATTTGCTTGAATTACCTGATGAACTTGGTGTCCAGCATCTAGTCTGTAGGGTCCACCTTTACCCCCTAGTCCAGCAGTATCACGTCCACCAGTCCCACCTTTACAAGTATCATTAGTCCACTTTTACCCCCTAGTCCACCAGTCCCACCTAGACAAACAGTATCATTAGTCCACCCTACTCCCTAGTCCACCAGTCCCAGCTATACAAACAGTATCATTAGTCCACCTAACTCCCTAGTCCACCAGTCCCAGCTATACACACAGTATCATTAGTCCACCTAACTCCCTAGTCCACCAGTCCCACCTAGACAAACAGTATCATTAGTCCACCCTACTCCCTAGTCCACCAGTCCCAGCTATACACACAGTATCATTAGTCCACCTTTACTCCCTAAACTACCAGTCCCACCTATACAAACAGTATCATTAGTCCACCTAACTCCCTAGTCCACCAGTCCCACCTATACAAATCTTATCAGTAATTTTACATGAACTTGACCTGTGGCGTCATGTTTATATTGAAGTAATTAAATAATTTATAAGTTTACACACCTGCCCAGGTGTTTCCTCCAACATGAGGCGTATTCTCCGGATCTATTTTTCCATGCTTAGGAGAATCCACATCCAGTCCACTGGTTCGATCTATACTCATCCGGAGATCCTCATCCCCTCCCAACATCTTCCTCCACTCCTGCACGATAAGTAATAAGTAATATTCTCGTTAAAAGTGTCTTGGACACTTGACATTCCCCCTCGGTCTGAAAAAGAGCAACAACCCGTGATTATATAGTTATCTGTCCCTAACCTTAGCTGGAATAAAAACGAGACATTGCTAATTTCAGAGGTTGAGGCGGAAGTCCAAAAGACGGCCGTGGTTAAATATTTACACATGTAGTTTTACATACATATGAAGGTGCAGTTTGTAAAGTAATTATCTATTTATTAATCTATTTTCTTTGCTTACCTCATAACTTCTCTGTAGGTTAGCAACCCCAGTCTCCCATAATCTTACAGTACCAGAGTTATCTACAGATACCAGACCATCATTAGACATACTGGCCAGCCCTAGTACCTGGATACATTATATATTATATAGAGTTATCTACAGATACCAGACCATCATTAGACATACTGGCCAGCCCTAGTACCTGGATACATTATATATTATATAGAGTTATCTACAGATACCAGACCATCATTAGACATACTGGCCAGCCCTAGTACCTGGACATATAATATATTATATAGAGTTATCTACAGATACCAGACCATCATTACACATACTGACCAGACCTAGTACCTGGATATATAATATATTATATAGAGTTATCTACAGATACCAGACCATCATTAGACATACTGTCCAGCCCTAGTACCTGGATATATAATATATTATATAGAATTATCTACAGATACCAGACCATTATTAGACATACTGGCAAGCCCTAGTACCTGGAGATATCATAAAACATATTTTATATCAGGGGGAGGAGAGAGGGTGGTAATCTGAAAGTACCAGAGTTATCTAGTACCTAGATATTTATATAAAAATAATACAGGGATGAAATAATTATTAATTAGGTCCAGCCATAAATTAAAAATCAAATGAATGAATTAGAACTTATATCTATTTGTATCTAATGTTCTAATAATCAAAAATTAAATAAAAAAGTTATTGTTTCATAAATATGTTTGCTTATGAATAAGATTTAAGTTGAAATTTGCAGAATATGATTTTGATTCTGAAAAANCTGAATTTTCTATATGCTCACCTTGTCTGGATAAGTCTGTTTATACCAGGAAGCGTATGCAGACTCGTGCTGGGGTTCAGGTACAGGTATATACCTGACCTGACCAGCAAGTAGGTCAACTACCTCCAGGAATCCTACAGTAGATCCAACCACCACATGGTCAGCTACTCCTAGAGTACAATCATAAAATTGAGTAACTGGCTAGACATGGTAGTCAAGCTGAGAGTGCAGTTTGGATAATTTTTTTTAGAAATCATTTCAGACCGATAAGATAATTATATGGTGAATAATTGCTAAGTGTAAAAATTAAATCTTTAAAAGGAGTGTTTGCGAAAAATGAAAGGTAGGTAAATGGTTGATATTTCATAATAATTTTGTTTTTTCATGATCTGAGAGTTACTTTTGAAAACATTTATTCCTGTTTCGAGGATTTTTGATAATGAAGACGACATTTTAATATTTTCCAGGAATGTTTGAAAATCCAACGCCAGCGAAAATTATATAAACAACAAAATCAAAAATATTATAAATATAAATCGAGGATTTTTGATAATGAAGACGACATTTTAATATTTTCCAGGAATGTTTGAAAATCCAACGCCAGCGAAAATTATATAAACAACAAAATCAAAAATATTATAAATATAAACTATATACGAATGCGTGGAAAAATAATCGATTACTATTGTTTGTAATATCTGAATGATTTGTTTGGAATTAAATTGATTTGTTTACGGTCCGAGTTGAATGTTGCATCTTTCCGAATTTGTATGGGCGCTGCGTTCTTTGGTGTGAGTCGTTTTCAATAATTTTCTCCTTATAGACGCAACAGATAGAAGTAAGATTAGTAGCGATCAAAAGTGCTTTTTTATCACATTAAGCCTATACCCCCTTGCATTTTTCGCGAACACTCCCTTTAAATCTTCCTGGCACTCGCCCCCAGACAAGTTGTGGCGCAGTACATGTCAGAACATGGATTTTATTTGGTCAGGTAGTTTGGCCGCTAATCGACAACACACATCAAAATTTAAGATTTAGATCTAATATAACTTCGCTTTTGAAGTGCTTTTACGAAGAACAAAAAAGTTTTCAATTTGTAATATGTACTAACATGTAACTAAAGTAAACAGATATATTTTGTGAAAAAAATCTATAATTCTAGGGGCAATTCTAAAAAGATTTTGGACACATTGGGGGAAGCCATGAATAATAAAAAAGTGGAACTTGAAGCGTAGATAGTCTTTTAATCAATGATGAGATCTGCTCATATGAAATATTGAAATATTGATAGCTAATGCTTTTAATGATTATTTTTTTGTCAAATTGGTTCTAAGGTGTCTAATAAAGTTTCCTTGACAAATTCTAATTACTGGGACTTTTTGTTGGTCCAATGTTCTTGAAAACACCTGTACAAATACTGCTTATAATGAATTCTGGGAAACATTTCATACTCTTTTTGATTTGTACTTTCCTTTGCGCCAGTTTAAATTGAACAAAAACATACATCCTATTAATCCCTTCATGACTTCAGGTCTGTTAGTCTCCAGAAAACGTAATCACAAGCTTTACAAAATTTAAAATCCAAACCGACTCCGGAAAATATAAAAAAGTATCAAATTTATAGAAGTATTTATAACAAAACCTGTCGCAAAAGTAAACAAATGTACTTTGAGAAAAAAATTTATAATTCTAAGGACAATTCTAAAAATATTTGGGATACATTGGGGGAAGCCATATTAATAAAAAAAGTGGAACTTCAAGCGTAGATAGTCTTTTAATCAATGATGAGATTTGCTCAGATGAAATATTGATAGCTAATGCTTTTAATGATTTTTTTTTCTCAAATTGGTTCTAAGGTATCTGATAGTGTCCCCCCGAAAAACTCTAATTACTGGGACTTTTTGCCACCTCGATGTTCTAATACTTTTTTATAGATCCTGTAGTTCCGTCTGATATTGCTTCAACAATTTCTCAGCTTGAAAAGAAATCTTCTAAAGATATAAAGGGTATCTCGATAAATTTTTTATGCACAATCTCTTTCCAAATTTGTGTACCTCTTGCACATATATTTAATCTTTCTGTGCAAAATGGAATATTTCCTGATAATATGAAAACCTCCAGACCTATCCCTGTTTTTAATAAATCTGGTTCACCTCTCGAAATGAAAAACTATAGACCATAGCTATTATCAATGCTTTCTCCAAGATTTTTGAAAAAATTATTTCTAAAAGACTTGTTTCTTTTTTGACACAAAACTATTTTTTCTTTCAAGAAGAATTTGGATTTCTCCAGGGTCGAAGTACAAACCATGCTGTAATGAAAATACTCAATATTATTACCTCTGCTTTAAAGGAAGGGGAATATTCAATTTTAGTTCTGCTTGATGTACAAAAGGCCTTTGACAGTGTTAAACACTCTATTTTACTTAACAAACTTGAAAATGCAGGTATCCGAGGGGTAGTCTTAGACTGGTTTAAAAGTTATTTACCTAATCGCAAGCAAAAAGTTCAAGTAGGATCCAAGATATCAGAAAATACTTCTAATTTGAATATTGGCGTAATCCAGGGTTCTATCTTAGGAGTTATCCTTTTCTTAATTTCAATAAATGACATTTCCAATTGCTCTGAGTTTTTACGATCTGTTCTGTTTGCCGACGACATTTCATCTATCCTTTCTGATTCTAATTTTAATAATTTGGTTTCATCTGTTATGTTACATAAATCTAAAGCGTGGGTTCTCATTAAGTATGAATTCTAAAGCTCCACGCTTAACCTTCAAACAAAATACTTAGCCCTACCTTTCAGCAGACAAAGAACCCTAAATCCACGTAAAAAACCAGATATTTCCGGATTAAACAAAACATCAAATACAAAAACATAAATATATTTTTTCACAAAAACTAAAAGATATAAAAAACTGCACCAATTCTATTTCGTTTATTAAAATAACAAATTGTAATAATATGACATATTAATTAAAATTTATATATTTTTATGAAACCCCTACACTGGCTCCCTGGCTACACCAAGAACGTAGACCTTGAACAAAACAGGTAACTTCAAGCCTGCAAGACAAACCAACAAGCAGTTCAAATCAGGACCTGAGCTAGAGAGGTTCCTCCAAGTCTCCACAACATAACCTATTTGACTCCGTAACAAATTACGTAAAATATAGATCCTCCTTGTTATCTTCTATAGATAGAAACGGTATTTAGGTAAATTTTTTACGCACAATCTCTTTCCAAATTTATGTACCTCTTGCACATATATTCAATCTTAAACTATCCATGTTTTTAAGAACTCTGGTTCGCCTCTCGAAATGAATAACGATAGAACCATAGCTATTATCAATGCTTTCTCCAAGATTTTTGGAAAAATCATTTCTAGAAGACTTGTTACTGTTTTGACACAAAACATTTTTTTCGTTCAAGAACAATTTGGATTTCTCCAGGCTCGAAGTATACAAACCATGCAAATACTCAATATTATTACTTCTGCTTTAAATGAAGGGAAATATTTAATTTTAGTTCTGCTTGATGTACAAAAGGCCTTTAAGGACAGACCGGCTATGCTAGGTAGTTAAACTGAGTACGCAGTGTTGTGGACAAATTCTATTAGGATTCATTTGAGACAGTTTAATTTCTTATCAATTTTAACTTTTCCTTAAGTTCTTTCATCTTTAATATCTATAATAAACTGTAATAACTGATTAAGAAAGTTCATTTTGAATTTTGAGTTTGAAATGTGGAAAGTAGAGGGCGTCCCTAAAACTCTGATTGATTGATTGATTGAATTGATTTGACCATCTGCCCCGTAAATTCACCTGTTTTAGGAACATCCTTTGTAGGTATTGGTCGAACTATCTGACAACTATCTTTTAGGAATACATAGTCACGACCTGCATCAGTATATTCATTATTAAAGAACAAATTTTAAACTTAAAAAATTTACTATTATTCAAATTTACTAACTTATTCAAAAAAAAACTTTAAAAATGTCCACCTACCAGGATTAATATATTTCTTTATATTTTGATTTCCAGGAGCCTGGTTTGTTTCCTGGAAAAAAAAACGTTTTTTATTGTTTGTTTTTGTTTAACCTTTGTTCATCGTCTAACCTGAGTCCTAGGCCACGAAATGATTTCGTTACTTGAAAACTCGAGTTCCGGGAATCCTAGAGCTAGGTTTGCGTAGTTTCCTGGACTAACAAACATTGTGTTCGAGATCTTGATGTTCTCTCCTGAACAGTGAACATTACCATTTGTTCAGATAGTAGGGGCATTCATTTATTTCGGAACTTAAAAAAATTAAAAAAAAAACTTCTTAAGATACTTTTGCACAAAACTTATTTCAATTTAAAAAAATTTAAGGAGACAGTCATTAATTTTTCAATTAAAAAGTTTATTCACAAATTATTATTTCATAAAAATACTTAAAGAACAGAAAATTCAACGTAAAAAAACATAAAAAAAAACTAGATAAATTGCAAATTAAAAAAATACCTAAAGTAAGTTTTAGTCCAAAATCTGTCAACCCCTGTTTCTCCAGTGCAGTGATACTCTCTATATCGGAAGTCTTAACATATTTTTAAAAACATAAAATATCTTAAAAGAATTTAATCTTTGCCACAAACTCTACTTTTCTAATCATCTTTGCAACCCAACTTTGTAAACCTTAGATATATCAAACTATTAATTCTGTCAAACCAAATAGTCTGAATTTTGAATTAGAAATTTCGAGTTTGTGACAAAGACTTAATTTCTTTCCTGATTTATTGAAATTGATATTTTGAGTAAAGTGATATGTATTTTGAAATTTTTTTTAATGAAGAATAAACCCTTAATATATTGGTACAAGTTATCGAATTTGGTAAAACAAATCAGTACAAACAATCAAATACCTGGAGTACAGTATACCTGGAGTAGAGGAGAATAGGAGTACAGTGTAACTGGAGTACATGAGTATAGGAGTATAGTATTCCTGAAGTACAGGAGTATTGGAGTACAGGAGAACAGTATACCTGGAGTACAGGAGTATTGGAGTACAGTATACCTGGAGTACAGAAGAAGAAGAGTACAGTATACCTGAAGTACAGGAGTATTGAGTACAGTATACCTGGAGTAAAGAAAAAGAAGAGTACAGTATACCTGGAGTACAGGAGTACAGTATACCTGGAGTACAGAAGTACAGTAAACCTTGAGCATAGAAGTACAGGAATACAGTATACCTGGAGTAACAGAGTAGAGTATACCCGGAGTACAGGAGTAGAGTATACCTGGAGTACATGAATAGAGTATACCTGGAGTACAGGAGTAAGTATGGAGGGAAGAGGATCCCCGGCCCCATCCTTAATCAGCAGAAACAGAATAGTCTCAGGAACAGGAACCGGGACACCATCCTAATATTCAAATTATTTCAGGAACATGGACTTCATCCTAATATTCATATTATTTCAAGAACAGGAACTCCATCCTTGTATTAATATTATTTCAGGAACGGGACTCCATCCTTGTATATATATATATAATTTCAGGAACAGGGACTCCATCCTAGTATTAACACTATTTCAGGAACATGGACTCCATCCTAATATTCATATTATTTCAAGAACAGGGACTCCATCCTTGTATTAATATTATTTCAGGAACGGGACTCCATCCTTGTATATATATATATATAATTTCAGGAACAGGGACTCCATCCTAGTATTAACACTATTTCAGGAATATGGACTCCATCCTAATATTCAAATTATTTCAGGAACATGGACTCCATCCTAATATTCATATTATTTCAAGAACAGGAACTCCATCCTTGTAATAATATTATTTCAGAAACTGGACTCCATCCTTGTATATATATAATTTCAGGAACAGGGACTCCATCCTAGTATTAATATTACTTCAGGAACAGGAACTCCGTCCTAGTATTAATATTATTTCAGGAACTGGGACTCCATCCTAGTATTAATATTATTTTAGGAACTGGGACTCCATCCTAGTATTAATATAATTTCAGGAACAGGGACTCCATCCTAGTATTAATACTATTTCAGGAACAGGGACTCCATCCTAGTATTAACACTATTTCAGGAACATGAACTCCATCCTAATATTCATATTATTTCATGAACTGGGACACCATCCAACAAATAATATTATTTCAGGAACTGGGACTCCATCCTAGTATTAATACTATTTCAGGAACAGGGACTCCATCCTAGTATTAATACTATTTCAGGAACAGGGGCTCCATCCTACTATTAATATTATTTCAGGAACTGGGACTCCATCCTAGTATTAATACTATTTCATGAACAGGGACTCCATCCTAGTATTAATACTATTTCAGGAACAGGGATTCCATCCTAGTATTAACACTATTTCAGGAACATGGACTCCATCCTAGTATTAACACTATTTCAGGAACAGGGACTTCATCGTAGTATTAATATTATTTCAGGAACAGGGATTTCATCCTAGTATTAACATTATTTCAGGAACAGGGACAAAAAAATACACTTTTTCTTTCCAAACTAAAGATAAAATATATCAGAATGAACCAGAGATTCAATGAACTGCCCCATTGATATTGATAGCTATTTTGATCGTTAATTATGCTTTGATATTTGTTGTGTACATGTCAGAAAATTACTTTAAACTCTAGTTATTCGAATTAGTGTATAAACTATTTTGCATATGATAAATTTGAACCCTGATCTCTAATCGTTCTCCTTAAATCTATTTAATTGAAATATTTTGTTATTATTACTAACATTAGGTGGAAAAAATAATCAAAACAGCCAAGAGCTATTTTCCACCTAATTGCTTTATACTTGTACTGTTAATATAATCATCAATTTTGTGATTGTAAACTCTATCTNATAATCATAATAATAATAAAAATAATAATAATAATAATAATAAACAACCTGGATTGAAGAAGAGTAGTTTATTCTCCTGAGCAAAATCTGGGCAGAACCGGAAGTGTTCAGAATCATGATCAATTCTTCTTCCTGATAAAACATGGTTTTATAAATTACTTTTACTATTATTATAAAGATTTATTCTCACACAAAGTGAGAACAAGAACTCTAGAATAGGAAGACGACCTTTAGACTCAATTTATGACTAAAGGGTCCAATGAACATGAGAGACATCAATTGTGCAGTCGAAACAGACTCATTTCCCTTAAAAAGTAATATAATAGTAAATAGTAAAACTATGTGCTTCGTAACAGCATTCAATACACCTAAATATTCCTTTAATGTAGTCTTCCTTTTCAATAGTTTTATGTTCTCACTGTATATTAATGGTGTTGCACTAATCTTCAATTCTTGATCTCAATATTCATTTTTGAACCTTGTTCCTTTAATTTTACTTGTTCTGCCATGGGGTTCCGAACAAAAAATTTCCATTGTCCAAGAGGACATATCTTATCTTTTGGACAACGTCAATTATAACTGCTAGATCCAAGAATTTACGAAGTTTTGATCTCAGCTCATCTTCATGAAATGATAAACTCCAGCTTAATTGGTGAAGAGGGAGATTAACAAAATAATTGAAAAGAAACTTTGTGTTAGCGACAAACTCTAATATTCTAATTCCTATATCTTTGCAACCTAAGATGGAATTTAAAGAATTTGAGCCGTGGTTTAAATCTGCCAAACCCCGGTATAAATTAAGCGCCGGCTTAAATCTTGAAAAATTTGATACAATTTTAAGTGGAACCAACCATATTTAAGCCGAGGCTTAAATTTAAACCGCCGCTCAAATTCTTTAAATTCGGTCACTAATTATAAAGTTTGAAATATCTAAAGCCTACGATATTGGGATTTAAAAATCTGAGTTTGTGGCAAAAACTTAATTTCTTTTTACGTAAATACAGAGACTTAATATTTTTTTATCTCTATATAATAAAGCTCTTTGCGCATATATATGTTCGTTATAGCTGGCCAAACAGGTGAGCCAAATTTTCTAAACAAATTTAAGGGAACCCATGGGAATGACAGAGGCTACAATTTTTTTTGAAATTTTTGAAATCTCACGGGCAACGCCGGGCACTTCAGCTAAAATCATAATTTAATACCAAGCGCGGGTAAACGGAGGGAGTAACTATAACTAATATAGACGCGGGTTCTTTAGCTTCACAAATATAAAAGATTTTACGAAATTTACGATCATCAGCTGCTGAAGACTCGAGCCTTAAAGAGAGAAAAACCCAAGATGGTTGGTTCTTACTAAACTCAAGGCCATCCAAAACCCGGGTCTTGACTTGAGATTTACTTACTTTACTTACTAAGCAGACGCAAAGACCGGGTTTTACTCGGGTTTAAGCTTTTAAAATCTCATCTTTGGAGTCAAATATTTATTAAAGGGATTCTTCGGACTTTTAAATTACATGCATTGCATGATAACCATTCATCCTCTTGCAATCTTTTATGAAAACTAAGAAATAGTTGACATTAAATTCCAAAAGTATTCTCTAAATTGATTTAAGACATAAATATTAGTTAGAAATATTAGTTAAACATTGCAAAATTCTTTATGACATTTCTTGAAAAAGAAAGAATGAAGACAACAATGTTAATTTATTTCCACAGATGTGTAAGATTCCTGCCAAATGTTTTTTCATAGATTTTCATCGGCCAAAAAATTGAAACAACTTAGCATGTTTGTTAATTGTTACAAGAAAAACATAAACATAAAAAAAAAGAAAATGCTACATACAGGGTGTCCCACATCATATTAGATCGTTAATCGGTCAAAATTACGACTTTCGGTACTAATCAAATAATTTAAGAAGAATGAATTAATTTCAAAAATTGAATAAGGCTTGAATAAGGCTAATATAAGTATTTTCTTGCGGAAAAAGCTAGGTTTTTCGAGGGACGCTCTGTACGTAGTGGGTATCATTGGATTTCTTGAAGGAACTGAAGGGTGTAGACATAGTTTTACGAGACCTTAATTATAAGATTTCTTACTAACATAGTAAAACTAGGATACCTCACTTGGTGGGGTGGGCACTTGGTTGTCCCCTTCTTATTTGAGAGAAAGAAAAACAACCTTCCGTTGCGGGCCTGGATAGACTATGAGAGGGGCATGAATTACTGTTTTTAGCAAACATTTTAATATTGTTTAAATGGCCTAAAATCTGACCTCGTCATGAATAGCCAGAATATTCTTGAACTTCCCCCCAAGAGGAACCATCCTCGGCCGGCAAATCAGGTTCTGTCGACGCGTGTCAAAATATTGATTCAGTGTCATCAAACTGCACTTGTCGTCTGTCGTCTAATTTTATTCTTACGTATTTTTGAAAAATTTAAGTAATCCATCTTCTATTGTTAGTTGTTTATTATAACCACAAGTAATTTACTTTTTTGATCAGTAACTATAAAAAAACCACTTAGATTTGTGCTTTTAAATTAAGATAATTAAGTATCAAATGATACTACGTATCAAATGAAAGTTAAAGAGATGTAAGAATATTCCTTCATGGAGTAGAGGAAAACTGGATTAGCTGTGATCACATTTATTGTATCATAAAGAGGACGGTTATGCTCATCCCTAGAAATAAAATTAATACTAGAAAAAGTTTTTTTTCTAATTTTCATATCCTTATATCTTTGCAACCCGAAAGTTTAAAGAGAAGTGATGTTTGGTGGTGATGATATAATGTTTTTATTTTAAAATACGAAATGGATTTTTTTATTCACTCATATTTAAAACAATACTTATTGCAAAACATGAGAAAAAATGCCTCAAGTCCCAAACTGTTCAGCGTACAACATTGTGAGGTTTTTCCGAGTTCTGATTATTTGGTTTTGAGCTTGTGGTATTTTAGCGTTGTAGACTATATATTCTGTTAGATTGGATTGAAAAATTTTAGTTTATGGCAAAAACTAATTTCTTTATTTAAAAAAAAAATAAAAAATAAAATAATAATAATAATAATAATTATAATAATAATAATGATGATACTATTAATAATCATAATAATTACAACAACAATAATAATGATACCTGAAGACAGCTACATCTCCCACCACTGCTGAATCATGAAAGGGAAGGGAGAAATAAGACTGAAGTTCAGAAAATCCAACTCCTCTGTTAAAATATGTTTAAAGATTTTTAAAAAAATATCAATTATGTACATTGTAACCTGTACACTATTTTTGGACTCAGAAAAGGTTCCACAAAATTTTAGAAGTTTTTCAAATTTTTAAAACTTTTTTTACTGAACATTTGCCTTTCTTTCAGAGAAGATATTTTGCACAGACTAAAAAACAAACAAATCAATAATAGTTTTTTGGTTAGTTTTTTTTCGTCCCAAAAACCTTAAAAGTTTTTAAATACGAACGAACTCAATTGCCCAACATGCACTGTACCTAGCTTCTACACGATCTAATACAGATGATGACCGATTAACCAGCTGTGTTGATCCCATACTTATTCCACTCTGCTCTATGGGTAATCTACAGATACTAGAATATCAAACAAAGTCGGTGTACTGCAGCATAAAGTATAAACACAATTAAAACTATCTACGTGTGTTTATTTTCTTAAAAAAATAAGGGGTACTGAGAAGGAATTGTCGACAAAGTTATGAGTCACCCTGAAAATAATTAAAATTGGAAAAATCTTATGATTTATTTTAAGAATAATAGATTTTCTAATTAATTTAAATTATAATGTTGAATCTGGTTGCAAAGATATATGGATTAGAAATTCAAGCGATAAATTGGTTCCTTTTAAAGTAATCTGTTATAACAGGAGCGTATACTGCATTGTAACTTAATGTAAACTTTTTTCTTTCCTTTAATTTTTTTTTTAATCATAATCTTGGTAAAATTTGAAGAATACGAAACAATAGTTTAAATGAGTATTTCGTAGAAGGGTAGAATTGTAGAAAACAAAATGAAGGAAAAATGATTAAAGATGAAAAAGGCTGTAAACTTATTTTTAAGTAATCCTTCAATTAAAAAGCGGCACATGTCCGATTCACAACCGAACCCTTAACAGCTTTTCTGATCAAGTATGAAATAGATATCAATGTTTATAATTTTGAAAATCTGATTATCTTTAATTGTGGTTTCACTACTAATGTGACTTCCGCATTTCTACTGCAGGGAGACATACAGGAATTATTACAATCAAACAGTTTCGAACCTAGAAACCACAAATATCTTCCACAACATTATTGAACAAAAGGTTTCAAGGGTGCCGTTGTGAATCGGGCATTGACATCTTTACATAAAGGGTTACTTATATTTACGCGTACAGTCCAATTAAAAACAAATAAACCGGTTCTATTTGATATTCTCCTGAATTGTCTTCTGTTTCCTCTTCCTTGAGACCAAGTACCGGACACTACCTTGGGTGGAAGTGGAATCTCCTAAATATTAAATTGTATTAAGATTTACTAAAACTAGAGATTAGGCTTTCGTGTTCAAGACTAGTCTGATTACATAAATATATTTTAATACTTGCTGTCACTTTCGTGTTCAAGACTAGTCTGATTACAGAAATATATTATAATACTTGCTGTCACTTTCATGTTCAAGGCTAGTTTGATTACAGAAATATATTTTAATACTTGCTGTCACTTTCGTGTTCAAGAAAATGAAATATTTGACATGAAAAATCAAGTTTTTTCATTCTTTTTCATACTTTTTATACTTTATACCCAAAAATTATTAATTTTTCAACATCATTTTTCCCGAATTCAGCGAATAAAACTTAAAAAATTAAATAAAATGCCGGGAGGGGGGGGGGGGGTAATGATTATTTGGGAAAATATACACGCCTGCTATTGCTAAAAATAGTTTAAATAGAAAATATCAACTTTGCTAGGCTGATTTTAATTCTAAAATATAATTTTTTCTATTCTGATTTAAATTTAAAAATATCGCCTTTGCTAGTCAGATTTTAATAAAAAAGGTCTTCTTTGCTAGACTGATTTTAATCAAATCAGATTACTTTTCTTAGTCTAATTTTAATCAATTTATATAACCGTTGCTAGTCTGATTTTAAATATATAAAATCACCATTGCCAGTCTGATCTTGAATAAGTAATATCCCCTAACTTGATTTTAATCAAATATTATCACCTTTGCAAGTCAGATTTTATTCAAATAATATCATCTTTGCTAGTCTGATTTTAATGAAATAAGATCACCATCGGCTAGTCTGATTTTAATTAAATAATATCACCTTTTCTAATCTGATCAAAATTAAAAAATATAACCTTTGCTTGTACGTCTGAATCAATTAATATCACATTTGCTAGTCTGATTTTAATTAAATGATATCACTTTGCTAGTCTTATTTAATGAAATAATATCACCTTTGCTAGCCTGATTTTAATCAAATAATATCACCATAGCTAGTCTGATTTTCATAAAAATAATATCACCTTAACTAGTCTGATTTTGATTAGATATTGTCACCTTCACTAGTCTGATTTTAATTAGGTATTATCACCTTTGCTAGTCTGATTTTAATTAGATATTCGCACCTTTGCTAGTCGGATTTCAATTAGATATTTTCACCTTTGCTAGTCTGATTTTAATCAGGTATTATCACCTATGCTAGTCTGATTTCAATTAGATATTATCACCTTTGCTAGTCTGATTTTAATTAAATAATATCACCTTTGCTAGTCTGATTTTAATTAAATAATATTGCTAGTCTGATTTTAATTAGATAATATCACCTTTGCTAGTCGGATTTTAATTAAATAATATTGCTAGACTGATTTTAATTAGATAATATCACCTTTGAAAGTCTGGCTTTAATCTAATAAAAAAACCTTTGCTAGCATAATTTTAATTATATAATATCAATTTTGTTAGTCTGAATTTAATTAATAATATCACCTTAGCTAGTCTGATGGATCTAGTGTCTGTACCGATTGGTATTCCTGCAACAATAACTTTGTTTACAAACAAAACAGAACACAGTTCAGTGCAGTACAATAGAAAAAAATTCAAAAGTCAATATATATTTCAATCGAACTAATTTTTACAAATTTTATCATTCTATTTTCTTAGGATTTTAGGACAAAATTATTTTTTAACACTGAGTATTTGAGAAAATACATCAGCCAAGTATCTATAATATTTCTAGGGAAAAATTTAATTGATTTCCTTAAAAAAAATCAAAACAAAAATTCTAAAGATCTTCAAACTTCATGAACTATGTGTTTTGAAAATAGAAAAAAAATATTTGAACTATTACAAAATTTCTATGTTTACACGAGGATGTCATCTAACTTGTTGTTCACATACCGTGCTTGTGCAGGACGTCCTTGAGGGTGTCCCTGGTCTCCTTGGAGTAGGAGTCAAAGTCAAACACGTTCCTCACTACCTGGGCCAGCCCGTCGGTAGGGTACATCTATATAGATGGATAGATAATTAGATAGATGGATAGATAATTAGGTAGATAAATAGATAGATAATTTGCTAGATAGATAGATAATTTGATAGATGGATAGATTTGAATGGTAAATAAGTTGCTAGATGAATAGATTGATTGGATATCACAGTAGATCAATAGATAGTTGGATATATCTCATCAACAGACACTAGATAGATAAATAGATAGATAGACAGATACATAGAGAGATATATAGATAGATAGATATAAATAAATAGCTAAATGTATACTGTAGGTATATTGTATCTCTAGCTACCTGAATATGTTTAACAATGTTTACAACCTCCCTAGTAGAGTAGGGATATTGTATCTGTCCTTCATCTGCCATACTTCGTAGTTCAGAGAACGTTTTCACAAGCCTAGGTAGGTAGGTAGGTAGGTAGGTAGATAGATAGATAGATATATCATAGATAGATAGATAGATAGGTAGGTAGGTAGGTAGGTAGGTAGGTAGGTAGGTAGGTAGGGAGGGAGGGAGGGAGGGAGGCAGGTAGGTAGGTAGGTAGGTAGGATTGGTAGGCAGGTAGTTAGGTAGGTTGGTAGGTAGGTAGGTAGGGAGGGAGGGTTGCAAAGTAAGTATATAAATTAAAAGATTAAAGTTTGTGGTACAGACTCAAATCCAGTATTAAGATAGATACCTGCGCATAATGTCCTCATTAACATCCGGTCCATACTGCTTCAGCATAGACAGTTCTGACTCCATACTAGGATTATCTATAGCGTGACAACTGAATAGATCACCAAGGGATCCAAAGAAATCATTCCCAAGGAATGGAAAACCGGGTCTAGACAGCACATGTAATGGGGTTTCAATTAATCAGTATCAGGGGTGTATACAGGAATTTGTCCAACGGGGTCAGTACCTAAAAACCATCCAGTGTCCGAATTTAATGAATTTGAGCTGCGGCTTAAATCTGCCAAAAACCGGTTTCAATTAAGCGCCGGCTTAAATCTTGTAAAATAGAATACAATTTTAAGTGAAACAAACAATATTTGAGCCGCGGCTTAAATTTAAGCCTCTGCTCAAATTCTTTAAATTCGGCCTCGGGAAACCCTAGATTTCACTGATCCAAGGCGGGGGGGTGGGGGGTGGCATGTATATGCCTATGACCAGAATAAAATGAACGTCGAAAGACTTTGTCAACAGGACTGTAAAAGGACTACAAGCGTTCCTTCTATGCAAAGACGACATTGCCTAAATCAAAAAGGTCCCTTTAAAAGCTTTGTCTGATTAAGTATGAATTAAATATCAATGTTTAAAATTTTGAAACCAGATATATTAATTAATCAGGGTTTCTCTACATGCACATTTCTACATCAGGAAAACATAAAGAAATTTTTAGAATTTAACACTTTTAAACCTAGAAAAACTAAATTTTCTTAAACATAAGTAAAAAATTATTTATTTATGAAATTTAACAAAAACATACAAAATAAAGTGTTTCAGGAGAAAATATTTAAAAACCTCTAAAAGTAGAGGTTGTGGGAATATTTCCCCCCAATTCTAAAAAAAATATAAAAATAGAAATTCAAGGAAAAGGAAAGGAGAGGATAAGAAAAGTTACATATTTATTGTTTACACTATATTTAATGTAAATTAGTGGTGGATTGTTAGTATTTTTCGACGACGAACTAACAACTTTTAGAGATAAAAATTATAGATTTATTTGTAATGTTAAAAAAAAGTTTTAAAAAAGCTTTATGGAGTGTGAAAAAGATATAGGTTCTATGAAAAACGGGCATTTTTAAGCATCTTTTTAATTCGCGCTGATTATTGAACATATAAATGTTTCAAGGGTACCGTTGCAAATCAGGCATTGCCATCTTTGCATGGAGGGTTACTTGAAGATACACATACAGTCCCTTTAAGAGAAAAAAGTGCCATAAATGACCATTATGATAAAGTTTTTTTTTAAATAAGTGTGCTGTTCCTGTTTGCTAGAACAATCATCCTAAAATCTGGATGAAGCCGGATAATGTTTTCTCCGGTTTCACTGCTATCAACTCCAACAATCCTTCGTCCATCTAAACATACCTTAGGGGTTAACAAGGAAATACATTTTTTAAATCGTCCCCCCCCCCTTCTATAAGTGTGTAAGAATTAAAAAGAAAGTATTTGCTGATTTACGGAAAGTACAGGATTGGACGTTTTTGGAGTTAAAAAAAAACAAGAAGAGGGGGAAAACTTGCCATTTAACGTCAATTATTTTTCTCCAATAAACTCTGAAAATGAATACCCCTGAGCCATTAACGATTTATCTGCAATCTTGACATCATTTTGACATTTAACAAATGCCCGCCATTCATGAATAATTCAATCTCCCCTGACTCTGGTATTCTTGAGTATATTAATATATAACCTGACACTGCTATTCTTGAATATACTAATATATAACCTGATTGAACCATCTCCCCTGACTCTGCTACCCTTGAGTATACTAATATATAACCTGACTCTGCTATTCTTGAGTATACTAATATATAACCTGACTATGCTACTCTGGAGTATACTAATATATAACCTCACTATGCTACTCTTGAGTATACTAATATATAACCTGACACTGCTATTCTTGAATATACTAATATATAACCTGATTGAACCATCTCCCCTGACTCTGCTACCCTTGAGTATACTAATATATAACCTGACTCTGCTATTCTTGAGTATACTATTATATAACCTGACTATGCTACTCTTGAGTATACTAATATATAACCTGACTCTGCTACTCTTGAGTATACTAATATATAACCTGATAGGACCATCTCCACTGACTCTGCTACTCTTGAGTATACTAAAATATATAACCTGAAAGGACCATCTCCCCTGACTCTGCTAGACTCTTGAGTATACTAAAATATATAACCTGAAAGGACCATCTCCCCTGACTCTGCTAGACTCTTGAGTATACAGGTCACATTAGTCGGAGCTTTATCAGCCTCATCAATTACAAGGATATTACCAGACCTAGCAGCCTGCAAATAATTATTCTTCTTATCTTGTGTTGCGCTTTTTTCTATAATATTTAAAATAAATTTTCTCGTGCAATGGATTGGACAATCCATGTATAACCTTGCAAAATTTGTGCAAAATAATTAAATAATATATCTTTATGGTGTCTTAATTTCCAAAATTGCAATTTTTTGAGAGAATTGTTTAGGCCTATTTTGAGACCTATTTTGAGACCAATTTTGAGACCTATTTTGAGACCTATTTTGAGACCTATTTTGAGACCTATTTTGAGACCCATTTTGAGGCCTATTTTGAGGCCTATTTTGAGACCTATTTTAAGACCTATTTTGAGACCTGTTTTGAGACCTTTACTCTGCGTACATATTGAAACCAGTTCTCTCTGGGCGGAATTAGTAAACAAGAATAGATGCATCAGTGTCCGTCTAGTATCCGAGGAGGATAAAAACATTTAATTTTGAAGATTCACATAATAGTTTCCTCAGAACCAAAATATTTCATAGATTATTTCTGTAAAAATGGATTCCATGTCACTGTCAGGGTTCGACATCCGTCTTGTGTTTACTTTTCCGCTCAAAGACGGTACACTGCATTACAAAACATGCGTACACCTCTGAAATCACTTTCCTTGCATTAGTACCATGGGATTACTCAGGTTAGGAATTGAATTTTTGCAACAAACTCAAATTTTCTAATCTCTTTATCTTTTTAACCTAATGCATGATGGCGTGAACAATAGATATTTCAAACTTAGATTATTTGATTATTTATAAAACGTCGTATTCTTAACTTATTGTTAATGGAATTATGCTGCAGATATTTAGTTTTTATTTGAGAATTATATTGAGCGCTTAAAAACAGTTCCCGCATATTTCATGGGTATTTATATATTTTTCCAATTACTCAGATGAAGGTATAATAGCGTAAAATCCATTGAAAAATTGCCAAGACAACATTAGAAATTAAAAAATCAGAATTTGTGGCAAAAACTCAATTCCTCTTATCTTGCATATTTTAATTAATTGGCAGAATTTAAATTGAGAACATTTTCATAGAATCCAAAAAGATGTCATTTAAAAAGTGATTAATTTCTACCTGAACCAAAGAACTATTATTTAGTTTCTACCTGAATCAAAGGACTATTATTTAGTTTCTATCTGAACCATAGGACTATTATTTAATTTTTACCTGAACCAAAGGACAATTATTTAGTCTCTACCTGAACCAAAGGACTATTATTTAACTTTTACCTGAACCAAAGAACTATTATTTAATTTCTACCTGAACCAAAGGACTATTATTTAGTTTCTACCTGAACCAAAGGACTATTATTTAATTCTATCTGAACCATAGGACTATTATTTAGTTTCAACCTGAACCAAAGGACTATTATTTAGTTTCTACCTGAACCAAAGGACTATTATTTAGTTTCTACCTGAACCAAAGGACTATCATCGTAAACTATAACTCCCTCTCTCACAGACGGTTGCAGTGTCAAGGTCTAAAAAAATATTTGTAAATATTTGTATTAATTTTACTATTTAAAAAAGTATAAATATCAAGAACTGGGAGAATTAGATCTTTTCAAATAAAAATTTAAAGAACCGAACTGCTCTGCTTTTTAAGAAAAAAACCATAAATCAAGTCGAAATGTAAACCATATAAATCAGTATTATTGTTATTTAAATTTTTGAACCAAATATAGATTTGAATAAAAATAATAAATTTTGTAGCTTTGGAATAATATTTTTGACAAGTTTTTTGATTTTTTAAAATGATTTTAGATGGGTTAATAGAGTTAAATGTTTTGACACGCGTGTGTGTGGTTAATATAACAAAAAATTATACAAATAATTTTATTTTAACAAAATTATAAGAAAAAAATATAACCTGAACTGTGGTATCTCTGTTCAGTTGAACATATTCTCTTGGTTTGTTAAGAAGATTTAGTAATCTATCCACCAGCTTATTCTTCCCTACACCCTAAAGTACAGTGTACCGTATTATCATACTGTACAAATTGAACATCATGGCTTTTTAATTGTACATAATAGCTTTGTAATTAATTCGACTCTTCCCTGCACCCTGTACACTGTACACTGAACACTGTACACTGTACACTGTACACTGTACTATAGAGGGTATTATACTGTATATATTGTAATTAATGGCTTAGTAATTAATTCATATACAGTGTACGGTAGAGGGTATTATACTGTATAACTTCAACCATAATAGCTTGGTGATTAATTCAACAGTTTATTTTTTAGTACACAGAAGAGGTAATATTCCGTACATAGTGTACAATGTCATAAGGAATCATAAGGAATTGAAATCTGCAAGAGACCCCATTGTGGGCCCCCCAGACCGCCCAGAAAGCAGGGTGTACGTACATTGTACAATAAATATTTCATCATCTTTTTGCAATATGTTAAATACAAAAAAAAATTGTGTTTAAAAGAATTTTTACGGAAGAAATAAGATTGTTAAAAATTATGCTACAATAGCATTCAAAATTCTTTTTTAAAACAAATAATTAACATCACTATATATGTTTTGTTTTTACCTTAAGAACAGATTAAAATTAAGGTTTAAACAGCTATCTATGTATATTAGAGGGAGATACCTTAATTTTCCTGTTCATAATTAAAAAACTTCTGTCACGGTTTTAATAAGCGGTAACTTGTGAATTTTGTACAGCACAGATAAAGCAGGAATTTGTAAAAATATTGTTACTAACCTGGTTTCCAACAAGTAGTAAATGTTCTCCCAGCATGAAATCCTGTAGCATTGCCTCCATAAGAGCTAGGTTCTGAGGAGTATCATAGAATAGAGTCTCAGGGACCTTACCCTGGGTCTCTGGGTTAAACAAGGGAATAGAGGTCGTACCTGAATTGCAATATTTCAAGCTTAAAAAGTAGGCATGCAATCAGAGATTTTTATCAAGCAAATTCTGAAGTTACCTATTGTAAGTACTTGATCTTGTATAACACACTGTATATTCTTGTCCTCTATGGTCTTTACTTGTTTAATCCCGTTCTTCTCCAGCACCTTGTCCAGTGTATCCTTGGCCAGAGTAGGTAGAAACCTTGCTAGACATGCCTTGTTCACAACAGAGTACACTGATTCGTCAGGAAACTTTTGAAGTCGTCTTCCAACTCTAAGCAGTTGTCTTGTAGAAAGTGAAGTTGCAACACTTCGCAGTGCGGCATCCTCGGAATTACGAAGCGCATGAGTAACACGCAAAATTTCTGGAAGAATACTTCCTGGTGTGCCGGTCATCTCTGTTATTACCTGGAGTTCTTCTGTCTGACTAAGGGACCTCATGTCGTGGTAGAGGAACATTGACAGAATTTCAGGAGTCAACCATTGACCCTTTCCAGTCCCTGTTGTGGGTGGTTCTGCCAGTGCAATTATTCTAAAAGCAGGATGTACCATTCGTATCCCTCTCCCCTCAAGCTCTTCTTTGGATAAATTCAGCTCCGTCATCAATGTGTTAAAACTTGTTTCAGACAAGAGTCGGGTTCCATCGTAGAGCTGAAGTTCTCTGTCATGAACTAATCTTTGTATTACTGCTAAACTACCTTTGTGTACTCTGTGAAGTCCATCTAGAACTGCCAACTGGCCATTAAGAGCTGCATTAACTAATGGGGACAGCCGCCATACAGTGTCTCCTGTATCTGTTGTTGTCCGCTGCTGTAAAAGATCTCTGGCTGTCATATCCTGATAGAGTTGAATAGTCTCAGTCTTATATCCCAATAAATCTCCCAGATTTCGAACTAAAGCACTCTTCCCACAACCCCGAGGACCTACCAAGCAGATATCTGATGTAGAGTGAGAAAGCAGTATATCAGCCATCAACCATGAATGGTAAGGAGTAGTTACAAAGTCCTTTGAGGTATTTACACTTGTTCCCCCGTTAACAGTTAAACTCCTCACCTTATTTCCAACCTTAATCTCTACTTCTACAGAATGGGGATTCTCAGAAGAGCGTGACACTGATTCAATTGAGAGCCGCTTAATTTTGTTTCCCTGAGAGGAGATATGAAATGTTTGCAATGTATCTTCTACAGATTTTTGACCATCTGACGGAAGGAACAATTTATAAGGATAGAACCTCGAGATAAAGTCAAGGGGAGTAAGTTCAGGTACACTATTGTAAATGGGTAGTCCAGTCACAAGGTTCTCCATAGGAAAATCTAACAGACCCAGACCAGAGCTTTCTTCAGTTAGGAGCGTATGACTGAAGGAGAGAAGTCTAGACAATACTTCCTTGTCCACATTTGGTGCCAATGAGATGATGACATCAAGCTGTTGAGCATATGGGAGATGTTGGATGTTTCGAGCTTGAAACCTTGATCTTAAAGGGGGGTCCAGAGGACTACCAGTGTACTTTGGTACTGGTAATCCTAGGGCTATCACTCTGAAGTCTTCACTAACCCTCATAAGTCTCCACTTCTCCATAACCTCAGCCCCATGCTCTGCTAATAGAGAGTCATACCTAGCAGCTGGAATTAACAGTCTTCCATCTTCTAAATGCATCTCTCGATTCTCCAGAAGATTATTTAGAACAGGAAGAACATTACGTTCTACCTTCTCTATACCTTCTAAAACTAGAACCCGACCCTCAAGAGCAGCTCTAACAGCTGCCTGGTCCATGTAGTGAGCTGTCCCAGACAAAATTTCTCTTCTCTGTTTTAAATCTGACTCTGTTGTGTCTCTAGACAAGGCAACATATTCCATCTCTCGTTTTGTTAGTTCTAAGTACTGTTGGGTAAGCAATCTACGGAGGGGTCCAGGACGCCCAAGGAGAAAAATATCTTGACCTAGAGAATCTTTTTGCATCATCCACTTTAAATCTCTTATAGTTTCTGTAGGGATATTTTTAGGCAGGTAGTTTTTAGGGACTAGCTCAGGATTTTTGGGGACTTTGAGGGCCTTAGATACTCCACCAATTTTAATAACTTCTTTTTGTGTGGTATAGACAAATTTTGAGGTGGAGAAGTAGAATTTGCTGTGATTGAAGCTGCCTAACAGCTTACAGGTCAAGTTTTTGTGTCTTAGGGCTGACATTACGGCTGCATCTAGTCTAAAATAATAATTAATCAAAAAAACATGTTGTGGAATTAATTTAAGTCAGGCTTAAAAATAAACTTTCTCATTGGATCATTTATAAAAGACCTAGAAACGTTACCCATTCATATTTTCCAACAACATTGACATAAGAAAAATTGAGGTTACAACATAGCATTATATTATGTAACCGTGATACTCATATACATTTAATAATAATTTGATGACCGGTTTGAGGTGTCTGTCCTAGAGAACGATTAACGGACCCCCCTCCCACGCCCCCCCTTTCAATTTTGCACATAACCTATCCAAAAAAAAATCAACAAAATTAGTATAAATTTGGAGTTATGTTAGGTTAAGACACTTTCTGGGCAGAGACCTGTTGCTAGGACAGGCTAGGGGACCGAGTGCTGTAGCTAGGACAGTCTAGGGGGCCGAGCGCTGTAGCTAGGACAGGCTAGGGGCCGAGCACCGCGGCTAGAATTGGCTAGGGGGCCATGTTGCTGCAGCCACATGACCAACTAAATCTTAGTTTTAATTATGAGATGCATGTACAAATTGATTGGAGGGTGGGGGGTCCAAAAATCGTTTTCTAAAAAATTACCAGCTTGAGTTGACTTTCTTTTAACTCTTTAATAATTCAAATAAATCAAGTACAGTGATTTGCAACATTTAAAAAGATTACTTCAAAGATCAACTCCTGTTGTTTTGAAATAATTTGATCTTTTCGTATGCTAACTGCTTTATCTTAGTTATTAAGGTTTTTGTCCACTGATAACAAGCTTTAATTATTATAAAATATTTAAGAAAACTAGTTTTCGTGATCAGCTGTTTCAAAGTAAGGTGCTACATAACCCGACCTAGCCAGTAATCAAATCTATCGTTTCTTCGAATTTTCTGGGGCTTGTACTTGCTTTGCGTTACTAAAATGAACAATAATTTTCCCTAAATTTTAAGTCGTTTTCCCAAATGTCAAAAACTTTGTAGTCGTTTCTCTCCTGGTTGCTTAGGTTGATTGTTAAAGGAGCTAAGTACACATTATGTAATGTACACAATAACCCCAATAAAAGCGCTCACAAATAGTGAACAAAGACGAAATAAATTTTGAATTTAAGAATTCTTTGCGGTATTCAGACATCTTAAATCTCAATTCAGTTTCTGCGAACGTTCTGTCTAAAATACGGAGTAGGTGACAATTCGTTTAACCAAGTAGTGTAAAAGATATAAACCGACTTTTTACGACCTTCATTGTCCAAAACATCGTACGGCGCGACAATATTGTCACTTGAAAATTGAAATGTAATCTGAATTTAACTTTGCACTGACAATTAAGATAACCATGAGATTTTCTCTACAATTTTAGCTTTTTGTTTTTAAGTTGCCGCTGTTTCATTTATATCACTATATTAAGATGGAGGATACAAAATTGATAGGAGGGGGGGGGGCTGGGGTCCAAAAATCGTATACTAGGACAGACCCAAAACCTTTAAAACTCATTTTTATCATTCGTGTCATGTCCCACAAAAAATTTGGGCCCAATCAGTTCTGCCGTTTTGACGTTTATTGGTTACAAACAAACTAACAAGCTAAATTTATATATAGATTGGGTTCCTATTCTAATATATCATTTCTTTCCAGATAGAAAAATTAAGTAAAAGTGAATGAAATTGCATGAATTACAGGAAATTGCATGGGAAGTGAAGTAATAGTTTGATAAATTGCGAGGTATTCTGTTATTTACGAAATCAAGATGGAAGCCATTTTTCATGAACAGGTAGGATTTTTAAAGATTCGTAAATATTTAATTGCTATATTTGCGATTTGAGGTCTCCAGCCAGATAACTTGATTTTTCTTTAGTTACAAATCGGTATGTAATATCCTAGAGAACGATTTAACGTATTTTCCCAAAACCGTTTTCAAACTTAACTTCTAGCAATCATAATGTTTTCTTTTAATGATTACTTTGTTCTAAATGGAAAGTATCACTGTTTAGTTTTTATTTTCCAGTTAATGTTTTAGTGTTAGATATTAGTTTGTTTGTGTGTTTCTCCAACATCCTTGATTTAACACCTTCAAAAACTAATCTTGAGGTTTCATGATACGAGTATTTTAAAATTCTCGAAATTTAAGATCCATGATATTTTAGTATTTTTACCTATTGAACAATTGTAAAGGATGTTGGCCCCTGAAGTCGAAATTAAGTTCTTAAAGTTTTTTACTTATCTTCAAAACTCAACTTTTTCAGGCGGTTCAATCCCCACCTCCTTGATCAGAGGCCAGCATCCTACAGCCTCTATTGTAAACCTCCCCCTTGAACCAACTATGTGAGGTCATGGCGGAGGGTGTCGAGGAGGGTTTGGAGGATCCAGGATCGGATCCTCCAGTAGCTGAGGATGTAGAGACCGTGGATCCCCGAGGATCACAAGAAACGGAGGATTTAGCCTCCAAGGATTCTAATTCTAGTGATGATTCAAATAAAGATTCTTGTGATTCCAATACTCAGCACATTGATGATGATACTCGTAACACTGAACCAATGAAAATTCAATCAGATATAAAAACTAGAACTGTACCAGATTCTAGTGTACCAGATTCTAACACACCAGATAATCCACCAAAGGTTTCTCCTGTTTTACCAGAGATTGTTAGTAAAGAAAGTGAAGATGTCTCCAATGTCGAGCAGGATGTTCCGCCTGCTGATCATTCTTCCCCTCTTGTTGAAGAAGAGCCCTTGAACGATATTACCCATCCTCTTTTCTCATCTAAATCTATTCTGGAAGAGGAGGAGAAGGAGGCTGAGAGAGAAGCCGCAACAACCGAACAGGTTAGAACATTAACTTTTACGGGTTTTATTTTGTGACTTTTTTGGTTCTTGACTTTTGATTCTTAATTCCTGACTTTGGGTGTTCGGCTCCTCACATTGTTTACGCCCCTAACTTTCCCGAATCTCTGGTTTCTGACTCCTGACTACTCTTTTTTAATCACAATTCATTGGTTATGAGTTTCCAACCCTGACTAATGACTTTTTACCCCTGATTTATGAAGCCGGGCGCTCCTCTTCCGACTTACCTGACTTCACAAATTTCTAAATTGTGACTCCAAATTATAACTTATTTCCAGAGGTCCATATAATTCCATCTAATACGATTCCAAATGTTGATTGATTGATGTTAGGGACAGAAATTTACAATGTTGTAAACAATTGGAAGTATGATGTTAGTTGCAGAAAAAATTCCATTCTGCAGAATGTAAACTGCAAGGGAGTGATTATTTTTGTATATTAAGTTCACAGTGACACAGAAAGTGTATTTTCATGCTCCTAAATGCACTTAGAAACCCGATCCCATTCGGGTTCAGAAATAGAATGACATGGACCCCTCCTTATTTCTAGAGTGGGGGTGGACTAGGATTTACACTTGGAGCTGAGAGTAAAGCTGATATCTTGGATTCTCTAGCTTTCTCAATCAAGCATAGGGATTCTTCGGGATTCATGCAGGAACAGTTTATGGATCAGGTATAATTTGGGTGGTGAGGGTTCTCCCATGGTTTAAAAAAGAAATAGTTTCAAAAGATTCAAGAACTCCTAAAAATAGGAATTTGTCACAGTGTAACATTTCCAATATAATTGATTGTTTCACCCTAGGATGTGATAAATCTAGCAGATTTCCAGTCTGGGCCCCCGCAACAACACCGTGTAGGATATCCAGGTGATCCAGGGCAACAGTTGATTAAAGAGAATAAATACGTTATTTAAAGAGTAACGTGCCCGATTCACAGCGGTACTCTATAAACATATATCTGAGAATAATCGAAAAATTGTCTTTTTTCTGTTTCCAACTTGTGTCGAATGTCTTCCCAGCATACGTTTAAAAAAGCCCACAGTTGAAAACTATCAAATTGATTTATTGAAGGATTGTTTATTGGTTGATTCCTTAATTTTTTGATAAATCGATATATTAAATTAAGTTATAATTTTTTATAGGACCTGCAACGGGTTGGTCTGGAACGGATTCCCAGGCTGGATCTACGGGAAAGTTCTCCGGTCGGTGGAGTGGGGCGGGAAATTATGAGGAGGTAGGAAAAACGAGAAAATAAATAGAGATATTTAAAAATGGATTTTTTAAGTCTGTTCAGGAGGGATTGAGGGGTGGCGGGGTTAATGTCTCTATATCTAGGACTGACTGGAATGAACGGATAATATCTCTATATCTAGGACTATGGTAGGGATGAAAGGATTGTATCTCTATATCTAGGACTATGTCTGGGATGAAAAGATAATATCTATATATCTAGGACTATGGTCGGGATGAAGGGATAATATCTCTATATCTAGTACTGTGGTTGGAATGAAGGGATAATATCTTTATATCTAGGACTATGGTCGGGATGAAGGGATAATATTTCTCTATATCTAGGACTATGGTCGGGATGAAGGGATAATATCTCTATATCTAGTACTGTGGTTGGAATGAAGGGATAATATCTTTATATCTAGGACTATAGTTGGGATGAAGGGATAATATCTCTATATCTAGGACTATGGTTGGGATGAAGAGATAATATCTTTATATCTAGGACTATGGTCGGGATGAAAGGATAATATCTCTATATCCAGGACTATAGTGGGGATAATATCTTTATATCTAGGACTATAGTGGGGATAATATCTTTATATCTAGGACTATAGTTGGGATAAAGGGATAATATCTATATATCTAGGACTATGGTTGGGTTAAAGGGATAATATCTCTATATCTAGGACTATAGTGGGGATAATATCTTTATATCTAGGACTATAGTTGGGATGAAGGGATAATATTTCTCTATCTAGGACTATGGTTGGGATGAAGGTGGTGGGGATAATATCTCTGATCTATTAACAATAAGACGAGTGGACAGTAAAGATGTTGTTTACAAGAAGAAGAAAGCCGCAAAGGTAATTTTAGTAGTGTTTTTCTATCTCCGCAGTTTGTATTGGAGAGACGACGCCGATATGGATTTCTTTAAAGGGTGTCAATTTAATAGAATTAGAAAAAAAATTAACGAAATCAGGAGTGAAGGAGTAAAAACCGCTTAGCAATTGTTAAATTTTCTTAAATTTTCAGATCTAAGAAAATGGAATTATTACATTTTTTTGTTCAGTTTGTTGGAAAATACGTGTTCGGAGATATTCTTGGAGAAGGAAGCTATGCTAGGGTTAAAGAATGTGTAGATTCTGAAACCTTGTGCAGGTAACACCTCACCCCCCCCCCCCTGCTCCCCTCAGTATTTAATTTATTATAATTACTTTTAAGAGAGCACTCATTTAAACTTCCTTGTTTATTTATCTTCAATTATGAATGTAATTACTGAGATATCGTCGGAATTAAATATCATTGAAAATCCTTTTCGGTACAAACAATGTAGATTGTAGATAAATCTTTTTACGGTTAAAAATAAATTTATTTTGTGGATTATTATTTTTTTGTCTTCACTAAATTACAGTACAAAAAATTGTTAAAGGATTTTTTGCTGTACTGGGGAAAAATATCTCTTTGGGGGAAGTTAATAGATTTTGGGTAAAAAAAAATGGAAAATATGAAGAAACTGTCGATATCCTATTTATATTTATTTTCCTCAGAGTTTCAAAAATCTCCCCTTCCCCTGGGGGGGATGTGTTAGTGTTGAAAATATAAACCCCTGCTTAATTATTAACTGATATTTTACGTAATGCGTAGACGAGCAGTGAAGATTATGAAGAAGCGTAAGTTGCGTAAGATTCCTAATGGCGAAGAGAATGTTAGACGTGAGATTGCCTTGTTAAAATCCTTGAATCATAAGAACGTTATGAAGCTCATTGATGTTCTTACCAACGAACAAAAGGGGAAAATATATTTGGTAAGTTACAATGTTTTACAAAAGTGGTGCTGCCCCCCATTCACGGATTTCCTATTCATTGTGGGGAATATTTTCGTAATTAAATTCATTGTTGTACTATGTACATGTGCTTGAGTACTAATGTATTGTACAGTTGCTAGAGTACTAATGTGATGTTGTATACAAAGGCTTGAGTACTAATGTATTGTAGTACAGGTTCTTGAATGCTAATGTATTGTTGTACAGGTGCTTCAGTACAAATGTATTGTATAAGTGCTTGAGAATTACTGTACTGTTGTACAAATGTTTGTTTACTAATGTATAGTTGTAAAGGGGATTGAGTACTAATGTATTGTTGTACAGGTGCTAGAGTATTGCTGTACGGTACTGCAGGAAATGCTGGAGAAAAGTGTAGATAAGAAGTTTCCGCCTTGGCAAAGTCATCTCTACTTTACCCAGCTCCTAGAGGGGCTGGAATACTTACACTCAAAGGAACGAATTTGATATAGTTTTATAAGCCTAGTTTAAAGCCTAGTTTCAAGCCTAGTTTCAAGTCTATTTTCAAGCCTATTTTCAAACCTAGTTTCAAGCCTAGTTTCAAGCCTATTTTCAAGCCTAGTTTCATGATTTTTAAGTGGTCCATTGAGCACGAAATAATTTCGAAATTGTACTGTGAATAAAGTCTCATTTCATTTAGTGGATTCTTAAACCTATTTGAATCAAATGAACATCAAACTGTTTAAATGAACTTGAAGCATACTTTCAATTTACCCTCCGTGCAAAGATAGCAATGCCCGTATAATAACGCTTTCCTTAAAACCTTAATCAGATCAAAAGATAGCGTCGTTGGTCTGATTAAAAAAATCTTTGATTCTGATAAAAATTTCCATTATTTCTTAAATAAGCAAGATATACTCAAGTCACTTTTAAAGAAAAATCACACATAAAAGAAACAGTTTATATGAACAAAAACAATCTAATTCATACTTGACCAGACAAACCTATTACGGATACCTTTTGCTATCTTTGGGTAGAGCCAGGGTTACTTAAAATTACGCTTAAATTCTCTTCAAATGTCGTCTTCCTATTCTAAAGTTTTATGATATTGATATAAAAAAACTGACTAGATTATAAAAATAAAAGTTCTGTTGATCAGGGAATAATCCACAAGGATATAAAGCCTGGAAACCTGCTGCTGGATCGAGCAGAAGTTCTCAAGATAGCAGATTTCGGAGTTTGTGAGCAGATTGATATGTAAGTATTTATAAAACAGCGCTCCTCCTTTAAAAAAAAAACTCAACTCATTTTCGACATTCAAAATATTAAATATTAAGAAAATAATAAAATGAAGCTTCAGTAAATTAACGTTTTTTTAAATAATACTAGCTGAGGAGCCCGGCGTTGCCCGTGGAATTTTTTTTTAATTTAAATTTAATTTTAGCCTGCCGACCACCCAAGAGTCTCCACAAAAAATTTTAGCCCACTCGCTCCAGCCGTTTGGCCGGCTATACGCAACATATAAATGAATGTCTTGTTTTATTTTATTGATTTTGAAGTTTTTTTATTATATCCATTGTAATTTTTGTTTCAGGTTTTCTCAGAATGATCTGATAAAGACAAGTCAAGGAACCCCCTCCTTCCAACCACCAGAGGTAAACAAGACATAGGATAGTTTCGGAGCAGAGAACTTGGAATCTGATAAGATTTAACTCAAGAATCTCTAAAATGGAGTCTTAGGCCATCCCTGCAACTTTGATTTGATTTGAAAAACTCATTAGATTTTCAGGTTTAGTCTTAAGACGCAGAAGTTATTATAATTCTAATTTCTTAATTTGATTTGATTTGATTTGAAAAACTCATTAGATTTTCAGGTTTAGTCTTAAGACGCAGAAGTTATTATAATTCTAATTTCTTAATTTTCTATATTTATATCATACTTTTTTTTCTCCTCCCATCAATTGCTGATTGTTTTTATTCCAGGTTGCGACCGGTGTAGATTTGTTTTCGGGGGAAAAACTTGATATTTGGAGCTGTGGGGTTACTCTGTACAACTTCAGTACAGGTATACAGAATTAGTAGATCAATGAATACTGAGCCCGGAGGGGTAAAACAGTTTTTTAGATATCAAATTGTATTATTGCTTATCTTATAAATTTCTTATTCTTAAATAACCTTCACAAATATGTAGACCTCAGAAAGGCTAAAGACTACTTTCTTAAATTTCCGGCACAATGTGCATTGAACATAAGTACAGGTATAGAGCAGTGGATCGGTTACTTAGTACATTGACAACTTCAGTACACGTAAACGTAGCAATATAGATGCAATGAGGTTTCTCCGTGCAATGTACACTGTACACTGTACACTGTACACTGTACACTGTACACTGTACTCTGTACTCTGTACTCTGTACTCTGTACTCTGTACAGTACAACAAAGATGAAAAATTTGCTTTATTTTATTAGGTACATTTTTACCGGAAATCATTTTTTAGGCGATTACCCATTTCAAGGAGACACAATCTTTAAGCTTTTTGAAAATATCGGTAAAGGTGAATTCAGGTAGATATAAAATATAATATATATTTATCATAAAATAATAATCATCTAAAAAATAATTGGAATTAGGAAACATTCTATTTTAATCCGTACATTAGATGCACAATGCGAAACTTTGTCCAGGGGTGTATATTTTCTCGTAAAAAAACCCCGCCCCTTATAAAAAATATTTCTCCCCAGGAGTTATGTATAATTTCGCGGATTTTTTAGGGTTTTATTCGCAGAATTATGGAAAACAAATTATTTTCAGGGCAAACTAAATTTATTTTGGGTAAACATTATCAAAAAGAATGGGAAAAAACTTGCCAAATTAATGTCCCATTTTTTCATTTTTTTAAATGTTAAAAAAAAATTTAGATAGTGTAAGTTAAAGTTATTTCATGCTGAATTTATTTCTGCTAAAAATTCCATGTCGTATGAACTAAATTATTTTAGTTTCCATGTGGGTGTGGACAAGTTGTTAGAGGATCTAGTGACCCAGCTGTTAGCCCTGGACCCGGCTGACCGGCCAAATGTCAAGCAGGCCAGACAACATGATTGGTGCAGGAAGAAGTTTCCGAGATCATCCCAGGTTAGTTTATCTAGGGGTATATAGTTTTTTTTTTAAACATACCTCCCCTTATTTTGAAAATGAACTCAGAATTTATACGCTAAATTGGAACAAAATATATTGCTTTTGATGAAATTAAATGAAGTTTTGTAAAAAAATGTTGGATAAACCTGCTAGTTGATGCATATTTTTTTCTATTTTGATATATTGTTTGTTTTGCTGCTTACTGACCGATTGATTAATTGATTGATTTTTTTTGTAAATCATTGATTTATTTATACAGGCTGTGTGTGCTCCTCCATACCTGGATGATCCATTCCTCTCGACCACTGTTCTACCCTACCTAGAGAACCATCACTATCCGTCCTCAGAACCTGAGCTCATCTCAGAGCATGATCTTAATAGGTACTTTCTATACCTATACCGATATTCCCCCCCCCCCTCTCAGAGTACAATTTTAATAGTTACTTACTTATCTCAAATATAATCCTTTTCTTAGACGGGAGTCTAAGGTTTTTCTGGGGGGGAAAAATCTCCGTAATGTTTAGATAATAAATAATCCTTGTAATATTTAGACAAGAAGAGGCAAGACTTGAACAGCAGCAAGAAGAAGCTGCAGAGCTAGAACAAGAACGACGAGAATCAAAGACGACATCTTGTATTAAATTAAAGAATGGGTGCAAACAGCAGTGAGAAGGAAAACAAAATTATCCTCGCGTTAATGTACGGAAATCCGTTGACTGCGTGCATAACAAACTTCAAGAAGGTGTACATTGGCTCCATAGTGCTTAACTAACTTAGATCGGAGCATAGTCAAACTTCAAAGTGTTTGTAGATCGGATTAAATACCATAGTTAAATCTCAAAGTGTACGTAGATCGGATGATGGAGCATAATCAAACCTCGAGGCGTACGTAGATCGGAGATTGGATGACTTACCATAAATTAAACCTAAAGGTGTACGTAGATTGGATGATATACTATTTTCATTCAATAAGTTTTAAGAAGTTCGGATAATGGATCATAGTTCAAACATAAAAACGTTCCTCAAAATTATATCACCATATACTAATCTTGTTATTTAAGATCTTTGATCAAGGATCACTACTAACGGACTTAATCCATGATTTCGCCTTATTTATTAATTTTGTTACCTGAACGAATTTTACCAAAAGTTAATATTTTGAACAGTGAGCTAGATACTTAAATAGTTTGTCCTTAGAAGTTCAAATCAGGTAGTAATTAATATTTATTAGTCCTGAGTTGGGAACTTTAGAATTGGATAACCCCGATTGCTTAATCTGAATATTCAATACTTAATTAGAGTTCGCTCATAGATCGTGTACAGAATTTCAAATTTTCCGGCCTCTCTCGATTGGTTGAGTTTCATACACTTACATAAATTAATCTTGAAAATAACAAAATGGATCAAGCATTGATCTCGAAATTTACAATTCTTAAGTTTTCAGCGCTGAAGTATTTATTACTGTTCAGATTTAGTTTACTACCTAGACAAATGTAAGCTAAGGTCGAAACTTTTCAATTGTAAATCATTAAAGGGACTGTAAGCATAATTTCATATGGCTCTCTATTGATAGATGACAATGCCCAATTCACTTGTAGAAAATATAAGAATTAAACATTTTTAAAGCAAGTAAACAATTTTTTCCACATAATTGATCAGATAAAGGTTTCAAGGGTACTGTTGCGAACAGTGCTCAGGATCCGAATCCAAGGGGTAAAATATCAACCGAAAACTACAAAAAAAAACTGTACTCTTAAGACCCAAATCTGAACTGTTGAAAGAAAGGAGATTATAAAAATTTCCTCATTTCTGATTGATTCATCTAGTTTTAGGATAAAAATAAGCGAAAAAAAATAAAACAAAATTTGAAAATTATTTTTTGTTAAAAAAATTCAGTAAATCTTTAAGAATTTACCTGGATCCGGATCCATTTTTTTCCAGTGCGGATTCAGGATCCGGATCCGCATCAAAATTTAATGGATCCTAAGCACTGCACTGGTTGCGAATCGAGCTTAGTCATTTTAAAATAGAGGGTCACTTAAAAGTACGCTTTTAGTCCGCTTAAATTTAAAGAAATACCACAATATTAGTTCTTAACTCTGTCTTTGTTTTAATTTACGGTTTTTTCCGTAACTCGGGGATTATCTGCTTTTTACTCGTGCTATTGATTGAATAATTAATTGAAAATCTATTTAACTTTCAACTAAAAATACGCTTCTAACATTTAATAAATTGATAAACTTCCTTACTTTAAAATAGTTTGTATAACATAATAAAATGAACGAAACTTAAAACAGTTGTACTTAAAAAAGTTTTTATTTTTCAATTTTGCAAAAGTTAATTTATACCTTAAAGGGATGTATGGCGTTGAACTGAGAATGTAGTATTGTGGAGAAATTTTTTACGTATTTGAGACCTATGAGACGTTTTTAAGGTGTATACTTGTTCAGCAAGAGCACAAATTCAATCCTTTTAATCCTTAATTTTTTAGGGATGATTTTTAGAATCGGTTTTTTAAATTTATTCAATAACGACGACGAAAAATGTAGTAAAAATTCTGCATTAAACTAATTAGTTGTTTTGAAACAGGTTGAGAGAATAAAAATTGACGATTATCATGGAAATAAGTAATTTTATTCAGTTATTGGTTTCTGTAAGTGTAGTGTCTCTTTGTTCATAAACATTTTCTGTAGATTTCCTGGAATTTTTATGGAAAAGACGACATTTGAAGAATTTGAAGAAATCCGCGACCAAATTCATAAAAAATGATAAATTCAATATGATGATAATGTACACATAATTGATTCTAAAATTGATTTATTGAGAATTATGTTCCGAAACATCTAATTAGTTTAGAAAAGGCACATTCTGCAAATTTATGTTAAAAATTTAGGCCTTGTCTCTTTGTCATCATTTCAGCACTTCAAACAACAGCAATAGCGTGTCCCTTACATTTACATTCTGGGAAACAACTCTCCAATACCTCATTTATTTATTTTTTGGTTTTTTTGAGCTGTCAAAATTTGGTTAGAAAAGTTTGATTCATTTAAGCACTGGCTCCTTTGATTATCATGTGATACTTCGATTTCCATTCTAAGAATGAGACTAAAGTAACTTAGGATGATATTTTAAGGAAACTATTAGTCGAGTATAGCCAGTTGCTAGCAGCCTAGCCATGATGAATCGAGAGCTGCCGATCATAGCAGTTATGATCGGAATGTGTTTTTCAAGCAAACTCTGTCCTTTTTACAGGTTTGAATCCTGGATGCTTTTACTTAAGTAATAGTTTTTTTTTAAAGTTTCAATTGAGAAATATGTTTCTTAACATCAAATTTGTTTACTGTAGAATTTGTTTAACAATTTTTGACGTCGTTTTTAATAATTTAAAAAAAATCTATTTTTAAAATGTAACCATAAAAATGAATGATTTCGAACGTCGACGCGCTCAAATTCAGTAATTATACATAATTAAAAGGTTTATATGTCTAATAAATCCTAAAGAATTTCTCCACAAAACTACATTCTCAGTTCAACTACCACGCATGATATTGCACTTATAATTTAAAGTTGAAAAATTATGGAAGTTTGTCCAATATTATGAAAATTGCAATTCTTAATTACAAGACTCGTGTACAATACTTGCATGTGTACTTAAATGCACTCGCTTAACTTGTATGTACAGTGTACAGTGTATAGTTTACACTTACAGGTATCAAAGTTTAGCTGCTATTCAAATTTCACACACGAAAAAAATAACCCCCCCCCCCCACACCGATCGCATATTCATCTGGTTATTTTGTGATATTATTACTACTTATTAGCTATATAGATTATAGATTTATAAAGAAGAAATGTTTTTTGTTTGTTTATTTGAATATATTTGTAAAACTAAATGGATAATATATGGGGCATTGTTTCTGTCTGTTTTCTAGTATTTGCAAACTTTTATTTGTATTTGTGTTTTCAACAATATTTGGATATATTTTTTCAATTAATCTTTTTTTGGGACTGAAATTTATTTTAAAGTTTGTCATGGTTTTGTTTTTTAATCGTTTTTCATTTCTCCTGTTTAAAAAAATAGAAACCCTGTAATTTTGATTAAACCTAAATTATTTATTTTGTTTCCTCCTAGAGTAGCTGAAAATAATAATCGTTGTTAAACCAATAATTTTCCTATATACCTCACAGACATTTGTAAATAAACTTGTACTTTATATTCCTTGATAAATTAAATTCACGGACTGTAGAGTAGGTTTATACAACTATATGTGTACATAATAATTGTTTTATATTTTGTTTTGATATCATGGATCCAGTTTTTCAACATTTTCATGATTGAATAAATTGTTGTACTTAGTAATATCGTTTTGCTTGCTAGTCAATAATCAATAATCACCAATCAAACCTTTTCTGATCTTCAGAAATTTATTGTTATAAATATTTTAAACATGGTTTATTAATATGTAACTACTAAAGGACTTGGGTTGGGAAATTTACCACCCTTGGGCAAATTAAATAAAATATCCATGCCTTGTGCTAAGTCAAAAATTTCATCACTAAAAGACGATAAAATTGTGCACAACACACTGCTGTGGATGTTTTTTGGCAAACTTGGTTTTGGGAACCCTTGCTAAAGTAAAATTCCCTTTACTTTCCTGTTAAAAAAGGTGTAATAATTGCAATTCTTATCTCTTAACCAGAAAATTAAAGTTTATTTTTTTATTTTTTAGCAAGAAGGATCTCTATGTGCTCAACATTGTCTCAACTCTCTTCTACAGGAACCAACAGATTTACTTATAGCTCTACTGTCCTATCTGTTGAATCTATGTATTTCAAAAGATTCCCAGTCCTACTATCATATATGTGCAATCTATATATTTAAAATAGAGTTCTTAGAGAGGACACCCAGCTCTACTGTCCTATCGGTGTAATATATATTTATTCACACTCGATTTCTTAGAGAGGACGACCAGCTCTACTGTCCTATCTGTGTAAAGTATGTTTCCAAAATAGATTTCTTAGATAGGACAAGAGAGGAAACACAGCTCTACTATCCTATCTGTGTAATCTTCTTACCAAAAATAGATAATTCAGAAAGGACAAGGGATAATTCAGGTGCTCTACAGTCCTATCTCTGTAATCTTTATTTACAACTTTTTGAATTTTAATGTTGTTGGGATCTAGGGCCAGTTTTACAGTGCAGTAGATCTAGCAGATATAGCTCAGGTTAGTAAATAATTTCATTAAAAAATATTCGGATATTTTTTCATTTTTCTCTTCACGTGGTATATACATTATACAGGATGGCCAAAATGTACGGATTGTACGTATTTTTTTAACCCTAAAAGTGTAGAGATATTTTTAAATTGTACGGATTTTTAGCTTGGAAATAAAACTTTTTTTGACGCATTTCAGCAAACTTTGCATGAAAATTTTCCAAAAAAAATCTCGTCAATATGATGTGAGTTTAACTTATTTTCTTCATCCTAAATAATATTAGGTTGATTGTTGTTTCAATTAACAATTAAAATTCATTCATAATTTTTCGAGAATATTAATTTTTGCTAAATTATGAGTTTTTTGTTTAAAAAGCTTAAACTAACAAGGAACCCCATCCTAATCAAGAGAAGTAAAAGACTGAATGCCATAATTATAGATTTTTAGATTTTAAATGTGTATTTATCCTGTTTCTCCTCTCATTATCCTAATTTACTTGTTTCTCCTCTCATTATTCTAATTTAATTGTTTCTCCTTTCATTATCATCCTAATTTACTTGTTTCTCCTCATTATCATCCTAATTTACTTGTTTCTCCTCTCATTATCCTAATTTACTTGTTTCTCCTCTCATTATCCTAATTTACTTGTTTCTCCTCTCATTCTCATCATAATTTACTTGTTTCTCCTCTCATTATCATCCTAATTTACTTGTTTCTCCTCTCATTCTCATCATAATTTACTTGTTTCTCCTCTCATTCTCATCATAATTTACTTGTTTCTCCTCTCATTATCATCCTAATTTACTTGTTATTATATATATGTAATATGTATGAAGGTAATTTTTACAGATTGATTTAAAAGCAATGTTATGACTGCATCTGCTGAAGAAATTTAAACCCTCATACATGAACATAAAGGACAATGAATGAAAAATTGAAGAAGAAAAATTTAATTTTGATGTGTGCTTTTTCAAAAAAGGTTTTATTTTTCTTAAATGTACTGTTTGTACGGATTTTTTTTCAAATGAACATTTTTTCCAAAAAATGTACGGATTGTACGTATTTGCTCTGAAAATGTACGGAGTTATGTACGGATTTTTTCAAAAATGTTTTGGCCACCCTGTATATACTGAAGTCTCGGATTTGGATTCATCACTCAGGTTAAGTGGAACAAATCCGAAAAGAATATTCAAGAGTTGTGGGTCAAAAATATTATAAAATACTAATTTGAACATTGAACAAAACAATTCCTTTTCTGGCCCATTTCTCAATTTATTTTAATTGTATCTATATCTATAAATAAAATCTTTAATTAGCTTACGAGGATTGAAGACGGTTATTTTGTTGCCAAGCTTACAATATTCAGAACAATTTTGTCCATGAGCTTTTGACCTGTTTATTTAATACCTATTTTTAAAGTTTTTTCCTTTAATCAACTTGGAAGAAAATAATGTTCACTTGTAACAAATACATATTCATATATGGTGGTAGGTGATTATATCATTATAATAACAATTTTTTTTATAACCTTTTTTCAAATTAAAAGTGAGCAAGTAAAAGATTTGTTAAAGCTTGATATAAATCAAAATTGAAATCTAATATTGTCCTAATATTGATATAATTCCACAATATTTTCCCAATTTATTCTCTACATTAAATCATATTTACCCATGAAGATAAAACATGTAAATGTTAATTTATATTTATTTAACAATTATTAATATATTTACAAACATTCAAAGCTCAGAGTTATTAGGATATATTTATTGAACTGAGAGGGGTGACTGATATGAGATTTGTTTCAAAAAGAAACTAAAATAAATTATGTCTGTCACAAACTAAAATTTCCTTATCCTTCCATCTTAGCAGGCTGGCGATTTGAATCTATGATATTTTAAACTTAAATTATTCAATCTAATAGAATTTAAAGTTTGAACTGTATAAGGTCTGCAAGGTTGAAAAGATTAGAGATTATAGAATTTTAGTTCGCGGCAAAAACGAAGTTTAGTTTCTTGATCTTGATTTTCTGGTTTCTATATCTTTGATTTTTGCATAGCTGCCACTTTTTTTAACATCGTCATTGTTTTCATTTACAGTTTTTTTTTGTATTTGTATTTTTTCATAATTCTCTTAACTGGTTCTCCTTTCCCCTGTGGACAAAACCATATCTTTAATTGAATAGATTCTTACTCTATATATCTCTATAATTCAACAGTTTTAGTCCTCAGGTTGATCACATAATTTTGTTTTAACATAAAAATCACATTTTTAAGTTTTGGTTATTCTTGGTCGCCATTGGTTGATTTGGAAATACTGTTGGGTTGAGACCTTAATGATTTTGCTTCGGCATAGCTTGGTAGGGTTGTGTACTTAGGATTATTTACAACACTTGAATAAGTTGGCGGATTTTCTGCAGAACCGGTTATATTTTCAACCTCGTGGGGCCGTATGTCAGCTATTGTGGCAGCTGATAAACTATATCCGAGCAATTTCTTTCTTCTCGTATCTGCAAAACAAAATGTCTGTGATTTAGCGACGTTATTTTCGAGATGCTTCCTGGAATGCCCGGCGTTGCCCATGGTATTAAAAAAAAGAATTTTGAAAAAAAAGTTAATTTTATAATTATTAGCTATGCCACCCCTCGGGTACCCACCGTGTTTCCTCAAAAATGTTAGCCCATTCGGTACATATATATATATGAGCAAAGAGCATTATTTTTAATTGATAGTAGCTATCGTGCCCAGCATTGCCCGTGGAATTTTAAAAAATCTAATTTTGGGAAAAAAAATGTTGAAAATAGATTTAATTTTTTACTCTATGTTACCCCAAGGGTACCTAAGAGTTTTCTTAACAAATTTTAGCTAATTCGGTATAGCCGTTTTGCCAGCTTTAGCTAACATATGTCTTTACATACATGCAAATATACATATATATACAGTATGCGTAGTAATGATAGAAGCTTTTTTTAAACTAAACCACTAGAAACTTGTCAAAGTTTTCAAAGCTTAAAAATGTGGCAAAAGTAAATTTATGTATTGACAGCGCCTGAGCTTCTGCAATATGGTTCTAAAACAGCTGAAATCTTAGTGGATCAAAAAAAATCAAATGTTGAAAAGTCCAAACGGTTTATTTAGCCTGTAGATAAACTTATAGGTAAAAAATGAACCAAGAGGACTAAAAATTCGGCCTCTTTTATTGTCCCAGCCGCAGTGGGAGTGGGAGCAAGAAACCTAATCTGTATTTCTGTTGAAAAGAGGAAACCGCCAACTCCCAAACGTTGAATATACGTAAAATCACTTAAATTAGATGTCTAAATTGGGTTTAATATTAAAAAGTGTTTCCATCTTTACTACGCACCTTGTATATGAGCGAAGAACTTTATAATATAGAAGATAAGGATTATTTCATAATGAGTAATTACCTTTTAGATTAGTATATTTAGTAAAAACTAAGAGAAGAGTAAAAGTTAGAACCAAAACTAGAACAAAGCTCAGAATTCCTTCCAATTTCAGTGCCAGAAGAAAAGCTTCTACCCAAATTATCTAAAAATGAAAACTGTGGCATAAAAATTTTATCAATGAAATGTTAGAAGTATTGAGCAATATCAATTTGCAACGTTTGGTTTGCCTAAAAATTTGCGTGAGGTTGATATGTGAAAATTTTGAGAAAATTAAAGCTTTTTTGATCTTTTGCGTAATTTTATCATACAATGGTTGTTAATTGGATATTTGACTTAAAAGAGTTGAAGGTTATTCTGTTACATTTAGAATAAATTTAAATTTGAATGCTTTGAACCTCCTCTTTGATAACTTTGCAGAAAACAAAGCTTAAACAAAGTATTTCATAGATAAATGCAAGAGAGTCTAATCTCTAAATTTCCACATTTTAACAAAAAACTTGTCTTATATTGACGATGGATCAAAAAAGATTTTTTTTTTTTACTTGCTGACTTACCCATAGAAGAGCCATCACTACGATATTAAGAAATATCCAGATAGAAAGATTTTGTAGAGGATCCAACGGTTCCAGAAGAATTATTGTACTTGATGCTATCTACAAATAATATGGTTCTTAATTGCAATATATTCATAAAGTTATCTACAAATCATATGGTTCTTAAATAAAATATATTCTTGAATTTATCTACAAATAATATGGTTCTCAATGCAATATATTCTTGAAGTTATCTACAAATAATATGGTTCTTTATTGCAATATATTCTTGAATTTATCTACAAATAATATGGTTCTTAATTGCAATATTTTTTGAATTTATCTACAAATAATATGGTTCTTAATTGCAATATATTCTTAAATTTATCTACAAATGATATGGTTCTTAGTTACAATATATTCTTAAATTTATCTACAAATAATATGGTTCTTAATTGCGATACATTTTTGAATTTATCTATAAATAATATAGTTCTTTATTTCAATACATTCTTGAATTTATCTACAAATAATATGGTTCTTAATTGCAATATATTCTTGAATTTATCTACAAATAATATGGTTCTTAATTGCAATATATTCTTGAATTTATCTACAAATAATATAGTTCTTAATTACAATATATTCTTAAATTTATCTACAAATAAGATGGTTCCTAATTGCAATATATTCTTGAATTTATCTACAAATAATATGGTTCTTAATTGGAATATATTCTTGAATTTATCTACAAATAATAAAGTTCTTAATTACAATATATTCTTGAATTTATCTACAAATAATATGGTTTTCAATTACAATATATTTATAAATTTATCTAAAAATAATATGGTTCTTAATTGCAATATATTCTAGAATTTATTTACAAATAATGTGGTTCTTAATTGCAATATATTCTTGAATTTATCTACAAATAATATAGTTCTTAATTACAATATATTCTTAAATTTATCTACAAATAAGATGGTTCTTAATTGCAATATATTCTTGAATTTATCTACAAATAATATGGTTCTTAATTACAATATATTCTTGAATTTATCTACAAATAATATGGTTTTCAATTACAATATATTCTTAAATTTATCTACAAATAATATGGTTCTTAATTGCAATATATTCTTGAAGTTATCTCCAAATACTATGGTTTTTAATTGCACAATATAATATTGAAGTTAAATACAAATAATATGGTTTTCAATTGCAGTATAATCTTGAAGTTATCTACAAATAGTATAAATATATTCTTGAAACTATCTACAAATAATATGGTTTTTTAGTTGTAATATAATATCTATTAATAATATGGTTTTTACTTGCAACATAATCTTGAAGTTATCTACAGATATAATAAATGGTTCCAGAAAAAAAAATTATTCTTTGTTTTATAAAAAAAGAAGTACTCTATGGTTCCAGATTACAGATTATGGGTAGAGTAAGACTCATAAAACGGTAGAATAAGAATTTTTTAATATTATTTAATAGTCCAATGAATATGCATGGAAAACAACAATTGTGCAGTGAGCACAGTGCACAGTTCGCTTTTACTAAGTATGTTGATTTCCAAGCTACTGTTAAAAAAATATTTGCTTTTAACAACATAAAATGTTCATGAGATTGCTTAGATATCACATTCTATTCAACAGTCTTACGGGTCTCACTATATTATGTTTACAAGTTAATTTAGATTCTACAACTTTATTACAATAATAATAAAAAGATAAGACTGATGATTCATTTGATTTAAATAGTATTTTTTTAATCTTTGAACTGTGAAATAGAATCAGTCATATTCTGTATTCATATACCTGTAGAAATGACGCCGCTAGAAATATCCATTCTGTGTGACTTTTCCCTTCCCCCACATACAAAAACCTTCAAATGTTTTAATTAAATGCAATCATTATAAAGCTTATAAAGTGGATGTGTATCCAGTTGTTTGGTTTACAAATTCTAAATCATTCAAAGTTAAATATTTTGTTTTAAGAAACTGATGAACATAAGAAAACAGAGGCCGAATTTTAAGAATTTGAGCCGCGGCTCAAATATGGTTGGTTCCATGGCGCTCAATTGAAACCGGTTTTTAGCGGATTTGAGACGCGGCTCAAATTCAATAAATTCGGACTCAGATAGTATTAATTCTGCAAAGTTGTCTCTGAAGTCTCATTCTTTGTGGGTAAACCTGTAGATCAAATACTCAGTTTGAAAATTTAGCGGCTTACATTTTCATGTTACGTGGATTTGGTAATTATGAAATTAGAGTTTCCATTGAGTCTTCCCTATCAATTTAAAAAAAGATGGTTTGACAAAGAGCCAAAATGAGAATCATGTTTCTCTATCACGAAGACACAGGTTGCAATTTTTATTGGTCCACGCCACACTTGTTTTAATTTATTGTAATTTCAAAAATGCATTGCGGTTCGTACGAAACTGAATGTAAGGTTAAAAAGGGGTTGTTTGTTCCTCTGATTTTCAGAAATTGGAAGAAAAAAAACTGTAAAATTTGATTTAGGCATTATACATTTTTTCCTCTTTGTTCAAGTTTTTATTTAAAATCCAGAAAAAATTGTTGCACATTGTTGATTTAATTGGCGTGCGTTTGAAGTATGATCCCAATTTTTTACCTTTTTTTCTTTTCTATCTTTGAAATTGTCAATCTGTATAGTACAGAGGGATATACTTTTATGGATTTATGAATGTTTCTTGTATAAATATACTTATTTTGGTGCATTGACACAGTTTAGTTTTTTTATTGGTCAATCAAGAAAATTTAAGAAGAAAACCTCAAAAAAATTAACACGTACTTGTAAGATTATAGCGACTATAAAAAATTTAAGATTTTAACACACATATATATATATATATACACCACAACTTACCCCGCAGCAAGACCAGAGAAAAGAAAAAGAAAGCAGAAAGATATTATTTGTATTGTTGACTGAAGACGACTTGTTGCAAACGGATTCGCGCACATGTTGGCATTCTTTAACCTAAAAATCTGTAAACGTACTGATTAAGGATTAAGGATTATTCTAGGGGGGGGGGGGGGCAACAATAAAATTCTACAATGCACTAGTGCAGTTCATTACTGATAAGGCCAATGTTCCCTTGGACACACAGTTAAACAGATTTTAAAATTGTATGTTCTGTCTTTTTCCACTCGGTTGGATCTGACGGTAGGGAAAGGTCAAAATATTTTTTATACAGTTTAATTGAGACCTAAAAGTCTAAATAAAAGTAAAGGTGTAAAAATTTTTTTTTAAATGTTAAATATTTTGTTACGCCGTCTTAAAGGGTTAATGTGACCGTAATTTCAAATTTACAGGGGTTATAGGCTTACGTCGAAAAATATTCGGTGGTGATTTCTACTAATCTTTCTTCTATTTGTTGCGTCTATAAGGAGAAAATTGTTAAAAACTAAATATTCAGATATTACAACCTATAATCATTGATTTTTTCGACGTATTCATATATATTTAATATTTCATAACATTTTTTAACTTGTTTCATTGGCGGAAGCTCTATACACACAATGAATATACTCCAGACCATATTGATTACGCTAGAGTGTTTTTTAAAGATAAGAAATTAGTACTGGGGGGGGGATGATATAATTAACGGTAAAGAAAAGGGGGGTGTTGATTTTGTCAATAAAAACTCAGTTAGTTTTTTATTCTAAATTCATGAATTTTTGCATAGTGTAAGTTTCGCGTTTCTTATCTATAAACTAATTTTCTGCATTCGAGTGCATAGAATATTGTAATTACACAATGTCATTTTACTTCTAAACTTAATCCAATCCGTAAAACTGAGTTTTCCAGTGATGGAAACACAAAATTAGAAGAATGAATACTTTTTAATATAATATCACATTTCCATATATTAACGCTTTAAATCAGTTTCTTTACGAAGCATTTTAATAAAAACTCTGTATATATTTAAACAGCGGAATTATCATTACTCTATTAAAAAGTACACGCTCTCGAGGTTAAATATTTAGAATATCGATATATGAATCTGGCCGGAAAATCATTGCAACCCATTGGTTCAAATAATTTAAATTTGAAATAGCTAAGATTCATACCATCAGGTTGCAATAAAATAGTCATTAGAAAATTTATGCAAGCAAGAATTTGTTTCATTTTCAAAAAAAGTTTCTTGCACAAAGAGATGGATGTTAATATCGAGAAGAACGGGTGTTGGTGGCAGTATTTCTTTTTGTATACAGTGTACACCATGGCGCGATGCGTTCGTTTCTTCAATTTCAATTCAACCTTGTTTTGGTCCATAACCATAGAGAATATAATATATAGAGAGGAATTTTCTCCTTCTTGCTTGTTCAACGTAATAGCAATAGAGATTTTTAACTTGACCTAATATATTAGAATTTGTATGATCTCCTTCTTGCTTGTTCAACGTAATAGCAATAGAGATTTTTAATGGGTTTTTCTTAAGTAAAACTTCATTATGTCTTATATATTAATATAACTATCGATTTCTAAAAATGGCACTGGTTATAATCACTAATTTAAGGGTCTTTAAAAAATGGCGTCTTCAATCTTATTTATTTTGATGTTATTCGTATTGAGTTGTGTCGAGTACTCTGATATTTTGAACTGTTTAAAAGATACACAGAAGATAAGAGATTGTTTACTAAACCCTTGACTGTACATACCAGGGTGCTAAAGATACACAGAAGATAAGAGATTGTGTTACCAGGGTGCTAAAGATACACAGAAGATAAGAGATTGTTTACTAAACCCTTGACTGTACATACCAGGGTGCTAAAGATACACAGAAGATAAGAGATTGTGTGCTAAACCCTTGACTGTACATACCAGGGTGCTAAAGATACACAGAAAATAAGAGATTGTTTACTAAACCCTTGACTGTACATACCAGGGTGCTAAAGATACACAGAAGATAAGAGATTGTGTACTAAACCCTTGACTGTACATACCAGGGTGCTAACGATACACAGAAGATAAGAGATTGTGTACTAAACCCTTGACTGTACATACCAGGGTGCTAAAGATTCTACAATTCTTTAATTCATGGATTTTTTAAAGGGGTGTTTTAAATTTTAGTATTTTAATTTTAAAACTTTAAAAACGTAAATAAGGAAATTATTCTTTGCAATAAACAGGGTCTAAAATTCCAATTTTAAATCCAATATTGATATAATTTACATTTTAGAAAAAGCTATAAAAAATTTGTTAAATTTCTAGGTTATTTTTTTTGTTTAAAATTTGATTCTGATGAAAAATTTTTTTAAAACATTCATTTTAGAATTCTGTTTTTCATTAAACAAAGTTCAGTAGAATATAAAACAATTTATAATGTTCAAATATGAAATTAAAATCTTGAAAACATTGGTTGAGTGGATCCTGCGTTTACGCTTTTTTTTCTAAAATAAGTATTTCCTAAAAGAAATATAAAATGACTCCTCGTGGAGGTCCAAAATGTATGCTGATAATATATCTTTATGGATTTTTTATCCATCCTTCATTTTAATTTTGAAAATGCACTTCTAAAAACCCACAACTTTTTTGTTTTAACATCGTATAGAAGTATTTCGAAATAAAGAAAACTTTGTTTGAAATTCAAAATAGAATGTTAGTGATATCTATCTTTCTGTTAATAACGTCAGTAAGCTTGTTATTTATGAAGGACACGTTAGGGTTTCATGTAGCAGTACATACTTTAACTCAAAGAACTTTGTAATATAAAGGTAGGCATTGGGATTCATACGCAAAACCAGACGACTCAACTGGGTTTAATAAGAAGCCATAGAATGTCGTCTTTTCTTTAATTGAAAACGATTTTAGGACTTTTTACGCATTTCCATCACCAAAAACTTGCGTTTTTTACGTAATTTGCAATTAGAAATCCTTAAATGTAATATCTTTTTAGATAAACTTTATCTTGAAACAAATTGCAATGTAATGGTCAAAAAAATTTGGCTACTTAAAATTAAGGGTTTTTTTCGGGCCTTCCTCACGTTACTGGCCTAAAATTCTGCTTTAAACTATTAAAAAACTATACTTAATGACATCAAACAAATTTTGTTTTAAAATATGTGGTATTTTTCATACAAATGGGATGCGTAACAAAATCACAATTTTAGCTTTATTTTAGAAGGAGAGCTTTCTATCCTATAACTGATAAAAACAAATTTAGAAGTTTATAACCGCGTCATTATTTTCCCACCATTTTTAGCACCTTCAATGATTAAATTATGTAATAACTAGAGTTTTAATGTTGATTATTTAAATTAAAAACCAATACTGCAGCCAATGACGTCATATCAAAGTGTACACACTATTCGGATAAATTCCTAATGCCCTATCTTCTACTATTCTAACATCTTTGCTTTAACTCAAGTCTCATGTTTTTTTTTTTGTCAAATTGTATTTATGCAAGAGCTAGACAAGGATTGGCTCATTGTTTACTTTAACCTGTGTCATTGGTTGGGAGAGAAGAAAATGTGTTATTCAATGTTTACTTGGAAAATGTAAATAAAAACTATATTTTTAATAAGTTTGTCACAAACTCAAATTTTTGTATTCCTATATCTTTGCAACCTGCAACGGCATACACCTTTGATATTTCAATTTTTAAATTTTGTTAGATCAAAAATTTGAAATATGAAAGGTTTACACCACCCAGGTTGCAGAGATAAAGGAATTAGAAATTTGTAGTTTGTGGCAAAAACCTAATTTCTTTGTAATACAGTGATAGGCGATTTTACCAATACAATGAAGACGACTTTTGATTTCAATTTTAATTTATTTCAAGCTGTCAAACAGCATGGATACACATAAACATAGAAATCAAGTGAAGTTGTCTATAAAAAAAGCTTCTCTTTGATTACTTGTAAACTTGAAATTCGAAAAAAGCTTTTTAACAACCTAAACTTAAATAAAAATGTCGTATTCATTGTATTGACATAATCGCCTACCACTGTATTTTAGTGACCGATTAACTTAAAAGACGCTGTAAACAATTCACATTGGTATCATGTAAGAATATTAAAAAGGAACGGTCTCTGTTCTTCTTTAAATAGAAAATTAATTATATAGTATTAAGAAAACGGCTGAAATTCGTATATTTTTTTTTGGAGTTTGTACTTTTGTTTCTCAGAAAATTCTAATATATTAGGATTTGGATGGACTTTCTACCTAATATATTTATTAGGATTTGGATGGACTTGGTCTAATATATTTATTAGGATTTGAATGGACTTGGTCTAATATATTTATTAGGATTTGAATGGACTTGGTCTAATATATTTATTGGGATTTGGATGGACTTCACCTAATGATTTTGATGGACTTAACCTAATATATTTCTTAGGATGTGGATGGACTTGACCTAAAATATTTATTAGGATTTGGATGGACTTTACCGAATTTATTTTTTAGGATTTGGATGGACTTGACCTAATATATTACAATTTGGATGGACTTGACCTAATATATTACAATTTGGATGGACTTGACCTAATATATTAGAATTTGGATGAACTTGACCTAATATATTAGAATTTGGATGGACTTGACCTAATATATTAGGATTTGAATGGACTTGACCGAATATATTTATAAGGATTTGGATGGACTTTACCTAAGGATTTGGATGGACTTAACCTAATATATTTCTTAGGATGTGGATGGACTTGACCTAAAATATTTATTAGGATTTGGATGGACTTGACCGAATTTATTTATTAGGATTTGGATGGACTTGACCTAATATATTAGAATTTGGATGGACTTTACCTAATATATTAGAATTTGAATGGACTTGACCTAATATATGAGGATATAGATGGACTTAACCTAATATATTAGAATTTGAATGGACTTGATCTAATATATGAGGATTTGGATGGACTTGACCGAATATATTTATTTGGATTTGGATGGACTTTTGACCTAATATATTTTTTAGGATTTGGATTGACTTGACCTAATACATATTAATTAAGATTTGTATGGACTTTCGACCTATTATATTTATTAGGATTTGGATGAACTTAACCTAATATATTAGAATTTGGATGGACTTGACCTAATATATTACAATTTGGATGAACTTGACCTAATATATTAGAATTTGGATGAACTTGACCTAATATATTAGGATTTGAATGAACTTGACCTAATATATTAGAATTTGGATGAACTTGACCTAATATATTAGGATTTGGATGAACTTGACCTAATATATTAGAATTTGGATTGACTTGACCTAATATATTAGGATTTGGATGGACTTGACCAAATATATTAGGATTTGATTGGACTTGACCAAAAATATTTATTAGGATTTGGATGGACTTGAACAGACCCATATGGCAGCTGAAGGGGACAGTGCAGAATACAGAAGGTTTATGCAGGTAAAATCATGAAGGTTGATGCAGGTAAAATCATGAAGGTTTATGCAGGTAAAATCATGAAAAGTTGATGCAGGTAAAATCATGAAGGTTTATGCGGGTAAAATCAAGAAAGGTTTATGCGGGTAAAATCACGAAAGGTTTGTGCAGGTAAAATCACGAAAGGTTTATGCAGGTAAAATCAAGAAAGGTTGATGCAGGTAAAATCACGAAAGTTTTATGCGGGTAAAATCACGAAAGGTTTATGCAGGTAAAATCACGAAAGGTTTATGCAGGTAAAATCAAGAAAGGTTGATGCAGGTAAAATCACGAAAGGTTGATGCAGGTAAAATCACGAAAGGTTGATGCAGGTAAAATCACGAAAGGTTTATGCAGGTAAAATCAAGAAAGGTTGATGCAGGTAAAATCAAGAAAGGTTTATGCAGGTAAAATCACGCAAGGTTGATGCAGGTAAAATCACGAAACTTAAAAGTACTGTAGTCGTAACTTCAAGTGACTCTTCCTGTTAAAATGGAAATGCACAATTCAACTTTTTAGAAACCCAACCATTAGAAATAAAAAGTGTTTAAAATTATAAACATTAATATCTAATTAATATCTACTTGATTAGACAAAACTTTTAAGTTTGCATGAAAAAACTTCCCTTACAGACCCTTTAATGACCTGAAACTATTTAAATATAAATTTAATTTTAACCTCAGACTATTTTTTCAATAGTAAACTAAATGATTTAACAAACAAACAAACAAAAAACATGTCAATAGACGAATTGAACAATTTATGCAAGCAAAAAGGTTGAATTTATTCCGTACAATCATCTCTTTAATAGCATCCTTTGAAGGTAACCCTGAAATGCAAAAATACAATAAACGGTATATGTATGTACAGTGTACACTTTTGTGCGTCTTCAAAAGCATGTTCATCTTCGTTTGTGTTACATCACAAGAGACCCTGAATAGTTTAGTGTCTCCTCAAAGTGCATTCACAATAATGGGACCTTTTTATGTTTTTTTTTTGTTTTTTTTTTTGGGGGGGGGGTAGTTTTTGGTTCGATTTTGGTTCGTTTTTAGTTCGTTTTTGGTTCGTTTTTGGCTCGTTTTTGGTTCGTTTTTAGTTCATTTTGTGTTAGTTTTTGGTTCGTTATTGATTAGTATTTATTATTTTTTGGTTCGATTTTGGTTCGATTTTGGTTTGTTTTTGGTTAGTTTTTAGTTCATTTTTTATTCGATTTGGTTCGTTTTCGGTTCGTTTTTGATTAGTTTTTGGTTAGTTTTTAGTTTGTTTTGGAGTAGTTTTTGGTTCGTTTTTGGTTCTTTTTTTTTTAATTATTTTTTGGTTAGTTTTATCTTAGTTTTTGGTTCGTTTTTTGTTAGTTTTTGGTTAGTTTCAGGTTCGTTTTTGGTTTGATTTTGGTTCGTTTTTTGTTAGTTTTTGGTTTGTTTTTGGTTTGTTTTTGGTTAGTTTTTGTTTCGTTTTTGGTTCGTTTTTGGTTAGTTTTTGAGGGGTTTTGGACCTTGACAATCTTCTAATAACACCTGAGAAGTTTTACAAATTTGTAAATTGGTCATTCTAACATTCACTTTTATTACACATTGGCAGTTATGTTGACCCCCAGGGAAAACATATTTGTTAAAATATTTTACATGAACAAAATACTCTCGTTTTTAGGTTCATTTTTCCACCATATTTTATCTTTGGATATAAATATTGCAGTGTTCAATACAACCAAACTTAAACAAAATGTTTATAGTTGTAAACCTAATTGCTGAAAGCTTAATGGTTTTAATCAACCGTTTCGTAGATAAAGATGTTTATTTATTTATCTATGGATGTTACCCTTGTGAATCGTGTCTGTAACTCTTCTAATGATAGGTTAATTGTAAATACTTTTAGAACACCCAGTGAACTTGAAATACAATTGATATACTCTTCTATTTATTTGAGGTCATACAAAAGCACAAAGGAGACAAAGAAACTTAAAGATGCACAAAGCAGAAACTTTAAATTTAGATTTTCTTTCTAGTCAACTAAGATAGCGAAGGGCTTTATTTGGAATTTTTTTTTCAATGATAAAACACATTAAGCTTATTCTGAATATGTATTAATATTAATGAAAATCTGTTGAAAATTATTTTTTGTTTTCCAGCAACCCTCTTCTAATATGGATGACAGTGGATTTTTTTCTGTTCAAGTAATCTCTAAAGCTTTAGAAGTTTGGGGTCTAGAACTCGTTTCATTTACTAGGTAATAATTATTATAAAGATATACCTGTACAATGTACATTTTACTCAGTGATAACCAAAAAATTCTGGAATAGGAAGTCGACTTTTATGACTTTATGACATAATAAACATGAGACACAGCAATTGTGAATGCAGTGTAAATAGATCCATTTCACTTAATAAGTGATTAAATACCTTACAGTAAAACTATTTGCTTTGTAACAATATCAAATGTACTTCAGTATTGCTGTAATGTCGTCTTCCTATTCTACAGTTTTCTGGTTATCACTGTGGGCAGTGAGAACCAGAAAACTGTGGAATAAAACGACGACATTAAAGCAGTACTGCTGACTTGTTTGTTACAATAAGTAACTTCTTATATCACTTATTAAGTGAAATGGGCCTTTTTTAAACTGCATAACTGCTGTGTCTTATGTTCATTGCACTATTGAAAGTCAAAACTTGAGTCTAAAACTCGTCTGTCTCTTCCTTAGTTTTATGGGTCTCACATATTCTCAAATTCACGGATTTTTTGTCGTATAAATTCTCTAAACCCAAGCTTAAGAATGATAAGGTGGTATGCCTTTTACAGTTGTAATGCAGGCGACATTTTTGGCATCTTTGATTTTTTAACTTACGTTAACAAAGTGGTTTTTAGCATACAAAAATGTTATCTTTGAACATAATACTTAAATCAAGTATCTGTGTGTCTGTAAACAATTGTTTTAATTTATTATGTACACTCCCAGTGAATTAAAGTCGACTTAAACTCGACTTTAACTGGACTTTTTACTCCCAGAAGTCGACTTTAACTCGATTTTTAAAGTTGACTCTTACTGGTAAATAGTCGTTCCAGAACTCGACTTTAAGCTGAGATTTTACCATTTTTGGACGAGTTTTTACTTTTATTCCTGCACTTATGGACGAGATTTTTCAAGTCGACTTTTTATAGTCGAAAAAAAGTCGACTTTTTACTACTTGATTTGTTCCAAGCTTGTGACTAGTTTTTAAAAGTCGACTTAAATTTATATCGGACTTTAAGTCGACTTTTTTAAAATTCAGTGTTCAGTGTTCAGTGTTCAGTGTTCAGTGTTCAGTGTTCAGTGTTCAGTGTTCAGTGTAGAGTACAGAAAATAGTTTAAACTAGTATTCTATACGAGTTTAGTTCGCTGGGCTAATCACATTTGTACAGTGCTGATCCATTGGCGGAGCGAGCCCGGCAGAGCCCTCTAGCGGCTCAAGCATACATCTGTAATTATCAAGAACACTGGTTTACCATTAGGAACAGTTTCAACAAATATATATTTAATATTATTTTTAAATCAATTCCGTTCCTTTTATTTTAAAAAACAATTATACACTTCTTAAGTTTTCGAATTAAAGGTGGCAAAATTTCAGTTTTTTTGCGGCTTTGCTGTAGAAATCCACGGATAACTTTCTTAGAATTGGCGGAGAGGATTAACAGAAAACAAAGATATCTTTGATATTTGTTATTCCGGTTGTTAATTCGTTTGTGGTAATTTTCAACAAGAGGCTTATTTAAAATTAGGCTGAAAAATTTCATTATACAGTCATAACCAGAAAGATCCGGAGGAATTTATTGACAGTTAATCAGACGACTTTACATATATATCTCTGGTAATTATAAATGCACAATAAATGCAGACCACATTTTGGAATTTTTTTATTATAATTTTTTAATCATATTTTTAAAATTAGATTGTAAAGTCGTCTGATTAATTATAAGTTAATTCTGGGTCTTTCTGATTAGGACTATATAGTTGCTGAAGCTAGTTTTACTCTTCGAATGAAACCTTGCACGAAAATTCCGGGTTGGTTCATTTTAAATTTGGGTTTTGCTTTGTATTTGGGGTAGAACAATGGTTCAAATTTTGTGGAGGATTTTAGTAGAATATATTTTAACCTGATTAATAATTGTCTGGCCGAAGATTGTACTCTGTAGACTTTTACAGTACACGCAACCCTCACCATTCAACCGAAAGTCTGACCGCGTCAACCTTGTTGCACCGGCTAGTCCTATTGAATGCCCGCTTTAGTTACCCAATGTCCGGGCCGATACAGTACAAACTGGGACCGGAAAGGTTGACCCGGCTCGGAAATTCAAATGTACTACGGCTGCCGTGACAATCTTGTACAAACCAGCTAGCAATTTTTTAACGTTTTTTTATATGTACGTCTGCATACACCCTGTCACATTTCTTGTTGTAGATCGTTTTCTGCACTACTCTTCTTGTTCTCCAATTTTCTTCCTTGTGATGCATTTTCCATCAAAGTCTTCGTTTTGCACACATGGCTATAGTTAACAATATATTTTACAAAAACAAATATAAATGTTGTCGAGCATCTTTTTAATGAGAGCATTTTTAGGACTAACGTAATCAAATGAAAATGATTTATTGAAACTCAGGAGACTTGGTCAGCAATGGTTTAATCTTAATTCACTTCTAGAATTCCCAGAATTAGGTTTTTTATATCGAATAGATACTTGTCAAGAAATTATTTTATATCGAGTTGATGTTATTGTCTAGAAAATGTTTATCTTTATAAATTGCATTAATAAAGAAAATGTTTATTTAAAAGAGATATTTGCCTAGAAAATGTTTCTAGAAAGTAGATATTAGTCTAGAAAAAGTTAAGAACAAATTAACATTTGTCTAGAAAACGTTTATATCGAGTAGCTTTCCGTTTTAAAATGTTTAAATCGCGTAAATATAAGTCTAGAAAATGTTTATATCAAAAATCAGAAATGATGAAGACAATGATAGCAAAGCATTTCTTATTGTTTTTCTGGTTTACAAAATATTTACTAAATGATATGAACAAAATTTACAGTTTCCAACACTTATCTTGGAGAATTTTTAGCCCAACTTCAACAGGAGGGATACAGCATATTCATTATTAAAGGACAGGTCAGTATATTCATTATTAAAGGACAGGTCAGTATATTCATTACTAAAGGACAGGTCAGTATATTCATTATTAAAGGACAGGTCAGTATTTTCATTATTAAAGGACAGGTCAGTATTTTCATTATTAAAGGACAGGTCAGTATATTCATTACTAAAGGAATGATAATTTATGAATTTTTACCGGTTTCTAGTTGCCTGAATGTGATGCAGATCTTGTCCTTCAAGCCGTTCAAGCAGTCCAGGCCAGGCGTCCTAATCTGCTCTCTGATGTACGCAGTAGTGGTTCTAAAGGACAAAGGATTCAACAAGGTCATGATAACCACATTGTTCAGTGTTTATATCAATACAATATAGACATTTTTTATAAATAGTTTTCGAACAAGCTTTTTTCAAATTACAATTTTACAAGTAAACAAATAAAAGCTGTTAATTGACAACTTCTCTTTGTTTCCATGTTATTGTTTAATGTTTATCCATACTGTTTAAAAGCGATGTAATAATCAAAAGTTGAAATCGAAAGTCGTCTTTTTTTGTATTGGTATATTCGACAATGACTGTATCATTATATACATCGGTTGCCCACAGAGATGTTTTCGCTTTTTTCAGGGGATTATCTTAATACAGGGTAAAATCTATATTTGTTGATTTATATTTAACAACTTAAATTTGAAATATAGTTTCCAGGCAAAGCTGGGTTCCCAAGCTATTTAAATCTTAGATTGACAACTTTGTTTTAACTTTTAGGAACTGTGACTAAAGCTTCTGGTGCTAGTACTGGATCTGCAAGGAATGACAATTAGAAAAAAAATATAATATAACTCCTTTTTTACCCTTCACCTGTTTTCCCTTGAATGCCAGGATTGGGGGGGGGCAAGGGGATTATGTTCCCCCCCCCCTTTGAATACGCTACTGTTGACACTTTTGAACTTGGTCTAATTGTTGCTGGTTCCTAGAGACGAAGAAGCAGATTTAGAGGCCGCCATGATGCTTTCTCTAGCAGAAAATGTTCCAGGTAAAAATTGTACCAGGTAATAAATGTTCCAGGTAATAATTGTACCATGTAATAAATGTTCCAGGTAAAAATTGTACCAGGTAATAAATGTTCCAGGTAAAAAGTGTTTCAGGTAATAAATGTTCCAGGTAAAAAGTGTTTCAGGTAAAAATGTTCAATGTTAAAAATGTTTAATGTTAAACAAGTCTCCTTCAATGGGATAAAGACGTTATTTCCAGGATCCTAAATATACAGAGTCGCAATTACGCTCCACATCGATACCCTCAGCGTAGTCTTCCTGTATCAAAATTGATAATTTTACTATTAAGCTTTAAGCAGTATTCATTGTTTAAAATGCCATAATGGCAGATAATCTATAAAGCTCATGTAACATTTCTTGTTTAATTTAAACACTTTCCCTTATTAAAAGTGAAACGACGATTTTAATGTCTTCACTTAGCTCTAATGTTTTATTGGACACCCTGCATAGTGCTTATGTCTTTAACGTTTTGATATTTATGTTTGTGCTTGAAAACTTGAATTCAGAATGCTTTGAGTAGGAGTTTATGTTTAGGTCCATCTGGAGGCCCGGCCGTTATTGATGAAGATGAACTTCAAATGGCGTTAGGAACAACAGAAATATATTTATTATTTACTTCTAGACGAATACTAAGATATTTGGATGGATTCACATACTTACAAGAATGCAAACCTTTACTGAGGGGTATTAAGATGATAAAAATGTCTTAATTTTTCTACTTTTTTCCGTCGGAACAGGAGATACTTAGCAATTTTAACTATTTTTTAACTATGTTGCTTTATAGCAAATCATTTTATCAGGAGTTCGTAAATCAACTTGTTAGGTCTGTGTACACATGTTAATTGGACTTTTTAAATCAGAACTTTATGGGTCTCAGAGGCAGATCAAGCGCCTAGAATATTTTGTTGGATAGTTTCATGCACCACGCGAACACTCCCTTTAAATATGAAAGCGTTTTCTGTTTGTCCAGCAATGTCCCAAGGAGATGAGAGCTCTGTCCTCCAGATCTTTCTCTTCTAGCTGAAAATAGATTATTTTTTAATTTTCTTTTTTAACTGACTTGCTTTTTTATGCTGCAGAGAGATCGAAGCAAATTATCACAATTTAACACGGGTTAAAAAAAGAAAATAATAATATCATTGTGAATCAGATCATTGTGAATCAGATCATTTTGAATCAGATCATTGTGAATCAGATCATTGTGAATCAGATCATTGTGAATCAGATCATTGTAAATAAGATCATTGTGAATCAGATCATTGTAAATAAGATCATTGTGAATCAGATCGTTGTGAATCAGATCATTGTGAATCAGATCATTGTAAATCAGACCATTGTGAATCAGATCATTGTGAATCAGATCATTGTGAATCAGACATGCAACTTTTTTAAACGGAGAGTCATTTAAACTACTTCTACAATCCCTTGAAAATAAAGAAACATTATTTTCATGGGATTGTCTAACTCATAGAATAATTAAAATAACAGATAGGACACTAGATGTCGTCTTTTCAAGATTTATGTGTGTTTTGTTCACAATAACCCTGAGACAGAAGCCCAAAAGAGTTACATGTAGTCGGCGTAGAACAGGATCTCTCTCTGTCTTGTTCTACGCCGACTACGTGTAACTCCTTTGGGCTTCTGCCTCAGGGATAATGTTAATGAATTACACATGAATCTTGAAAAGACGACATCTAGTGTCCTATCTGTTATTTTAATAAATCTATGGTCTAACTAAACATGTTATTTTAAGAAATAAATAAAGTTACAAATTATGGATACATGTAATAATTTTAAAATAAAGAAAGAAGTCATCATCTTACTGTTTCCTAGATATCTGAAGAGGATGAGCTCCAGCAGGCTATTTCATTAAGTCTAGCTGGGGGCAGCCAGGGGTCAACCCAACCTAATTTCCAACAGACACAACAATCAGGTTAGAATCCGTGCCGGTACAAGCATTTACCGGTACCGGCCTGTCCGGTCTACCCAGTGCAGACCCGGGACGTTTTTTGCACAACATGAAGGCTGGCTGGATTGGTGTGACACCAGATTACTGAAGTTGTTTCAAGTTTTAGATTCGTTTTTTAACATTATTCATGCATTTTATCCAGAAATTATAACTGATTTTATTTTACACGGTTACGCACAAACTCCCATTTATGGATCCCATTAGATTTAAACATTCCTTTAGCACACCTAGAAAACACTATTTTAAATATTAAAAACTAAAATAAAAGTTCATATCTTCAGAAGTAAATGTTTTAGGTCGTTATTCAAGTCTCATACTTTGTTGATAACCCTGGATATGAAATTTTATGAAATCTTTAAGATTGTTTAATTGGCATCGGTGGCATTCCTTAAAAGTTGACTGCGACATTAAAATGTTGATTGCGTATATTGATTGATAGGTTGGGGAGGCCGACTAGAACAACAAGAAGCTGAAGAAGAACAGAAATATTTAATGGAACAACAACGGCAAACTCAGGTCAATAAATATTCAGTTTTTAAAGGGACATTGTCACAGTAGACGTAATTTTAATTGACTCTCCATTTCCTATTCACAACGTTACTCTAACAGTTTATCTGATCAAGATTGCATTGAATACCATTTTCTCTTTGAAAATTGATAATTTCTCTTTGTATAGTCCCTTGTTAATAATTTTTAAAAAACTAATTCTGAAACGTATCCATCCCTAAAGTATGAGTTTTGAACGTCAATTTGCGCTCAAACTCAGGATTTACAAATCTTTAAAAAGTTTAATATGTCTCAAATGAATCCGAAAGAAGTTTTCCACAACACTGCATACTCAGCCGGTCACTCCCTTTAAAGGGAACTGTTGTAAATCTGTATGGAAAGTCGTTTGAAATTACAACGGCAATCTCTTTAACTGCAGTTCAACTTGTAGAAAGTGTGGCAGTCACAGATATTTTGAACTAATTTTTCATCTTTGTTTTTGAAGAAGAAAAATATGCATTATTTTATTAGAATTTACATGATTTGTATCCATGTAAAAGTTTAAACCAAAATATAGGAAGAAGAAGAGGAGTTAAAGAAAGCCTTGGCATTGTCTCTGGAGGGTGGAATTCAGGTAGGAGGAGGAGTTTCTTAAATGGAGAAATTTTTTTTATTATTAGACCGGGGACTGCCCTCCCCCCTTCCTTTCCTTCAACCCTTTTCAGCATAATTCAAATTAAAATGTCCCTTACATGCATAATTCAACAAAGGATTAAAGGGACTGTAATTGTAATTTCAAGTGACCCTCCATGCGAAGATACCAATGCCCGGTACCCTTTTAAGCTTTGTCTGCCCAAGTATATGAATTAGATATCAATGTTTATAAGTTTTAAAACTAATTTTTTCAACTGTGGTTTTCTACAAAAGTAACTTGCATCATATTGGAATAATCAAAGTAAATACGACAATAGTTTCCACATTATTGATCAGATAAATGTGTCAGGGGTACCATTATGAATTTTACCTTGCCCTCTTTGCACAGAGGGTCTCTTGAGATTACCGTGCAGTCCATCAAAAGGGTACTGTTGTTAATCGGACACCATTCTGCAAATGAACAAAATATTGAAATTGCAAATTCAGTTACTTTGTAGACAATAAATAATTTTTTTCGGGTGATGGTTTTGGCAAATAATTTAATGTCATAATTGTTTTATTCTAGGCTTTTAATCCCACCCCATCTCCTTCTGTCAATACAGGAATCAGTTCTCTTAGAACTCAATCTTCGAACCAAAGGTAAAAAGAATTCAGACATTATAAAATGTTAAAATGTCGTCTTCAAAGATGATTTAACATAATTTTTTACTGTTATCGATCATGTGAAGTGCTTTTTTCCGAATCCTATAACTCTTAAATTGCAATTAAATTTTTTTTTTGTAGGATTTATTGCCAGTGCTACTATTTAATTTCAAGAGGTTCGAAGTTTTATGCTTAAAATTTTCAAAAAATTTTAATAGAATAAAATTAACTTATTGATGGTTTTCAATACAGCTTTCTTTAGTTTTTGAAAAATGTGATATGTGACTTTTATATAAGCATGCTTCTACAATATTTACAGTATCCTTATTCCTTACTCATTTAATGATTTGTTTAGAATTGAAGTTGACCCAGTCCGTATTAAGGTAACACATGAATGAAAGAAAATTCCGAATAATTGTTCTCAGTTTTTTTTCTTCATTTTTTTGTAGCTCCATCAATCTACATGCAAAGTTTACACACATAAAAGTTTAAGATAAAGACCAGATTTATTTACAAACTTGAGTTTACAATTTGTACACATATTTTTATTTTAAAGTACAAAGGTAAAACAATCAACAGAATAAGAAGTCATTTTATTTTAAAGGCTCCAGCCGGAAGTTCTATCTCTGATGCGGCATCTAAGTCGTCTTCAGCGCAAGGAACCTCTGGAGTCAACAGAGGTACTACCGCTGGTAAAGGAGCAACAGCTTCAGGGGCAACCTCAAGTCCTCAATCTGATGTCGGAGGTCACACACTTGGTGGTGGATCAACCTCAAGACCTGGAGGTAAGTTTAGACAATTAAAATGACGATAAATTGCAAATTTTAATTTATTGCGCCATAGGTGGCGCTACCAATGCAGGTGAAGCTGATCCGGCTGAAATTAGAAGACGACGTCTGGCTTTCTTGGAAAAGATGCAGAAAGACGCAGCAAAATGATGAAAAAATACCAAATGCTCACATTATATTCTTATAATAGTTTCGAGATAAAAGTGATTAAGTTTCTCTTGACAATCACCACTAATATTTCAATAATTTAATAAACTATTTAGACAATAGACATTTGCTTGATTTTAAGATAAATCACATGACACAAACAATTTTCAAATAAAGTATAAAATGAAGAGTTGTTTTAATTCAGATTTAAGATTTTAGAATTAATTCCTAGGTAAAGAATCTAATTATTTTTTACCAAAAGAAGAAATGAGTTGGGCATTTCATTTTTAGGGGCTTCACAAATATGCTTATTTTGACTAATTGGAGATATATGCCTTCAAAAAAGCAAAATTATTCGTTAACATAATATTCATAATATCACTCCATCTTATATCCTTTGCATAGTGTAAAAAGTCAGACTTTTGGAGAATACAATTTTTAATAAACTAGACTTATAGGACGCTTCGCACCCATCTTCTATTTCAACTCATAATTGTGGCTTTATATGTAAGCATCTTCTCTTTGTAAAGTATAAAACAAAAACAAAATAAGTTTGAGGATTTCGTAATTTTTTTTCGCGCATTTTAAAAATTTTACAAAAATTTTAAAGAAATTAAAATTTTGATCATTCTTTAACCTTCCTTGGGGTTACTTGAGGTCCCACACAAAATTTGGGCCCAGTCTGTTCAGCCGTTTTGACGTTTATTGGACACAAACAAACAGACAGACAAGCTAAATTTATATATAGATTTAATCCTAAGAAAAACTGGTATGTCTCAGTGAATTTTTTATTATGTATTAAACCTTTATCATACATTTTGTGTAACATTAACAACCCATGAATTCCCCTATTAGTTGTATGAAAAGTTACTTAATTGTCTCTGAAGACAATCAATTTTTCTTGTCTATTTTTTCGTCTGTCTGTCTGTGTCCTATAAGAAAAATCGGCGAATCTGTACATCTAAACATACAAAATGGCCAATTGAAGAGCATCATTTAAACCATAATGCATACAAAGGGCCCTACAAAATGGACCCCTCTGCTAAGTTTTTTCTGGAAAATCACTATTTCATTTTTTAAAAAGGATAAGATAAAAGTGTGTTCCACTTCTTCAGAAATTAAAAACTCACTTCACTTCTTCAGAAAGTATTTTTAAGAAATGAAAGCCAGCTCTGCTAAAAAAAATCCTTGAAAAGTTACATTTTATTGCTTTGATATCAAATAAAAGTAAATAGAACAAATAGGAGTAAATAAAAAGAAAAAAAACAAACTACATAAATATAAGTTCTTAAAGAGGCTGTAAGCGTTTACATATTTCATGCAATTTTAAAAAATTTGAATGTAAAAATTCATGTTCTGCCACTTTAAGAGAAAAAAAAAATATCTCTTAAATGAAAATCAAATCGCCAACAAAGTGTTCAACAAATACAGGCGTTTCTTTTGACAAATTAGGAAAAGTCGGTCATCCTTGATCAGTAAAGAGAACCTGTGTGAATCAGGAAGGCCCATCTTTAAATGGAAGTTCATTTGAAATAACGCTTAAAGTCCTTCAAACTACATGTTTGTTTGTTCATGGTACAGTAATAATATATGTAGAAGTAAATATAAATGAATTATTAATATTTATGACAATAACAAAAAGTTGAAAAATAAACCTTGGAATGTTAAGAAGGGTGGGGTGCATTTTCATTCCAGTAAAGTTACACAACCTTTCAACACTTAAAAATCATTTCCCAATATTTTTTATCACTAGAAATTGATAGAAATATATGTTACAATAAATCACAGATAATTTTATATATACTCATCATCTTACAATTGTTAATTTTGAATTTATTTTCATTGATGATTTTAGAATTTTGTGCATATATTTACTTAAATTTTTCTTGTTTTACGCAGTTCTGGAGGATTGTTTTTCCAAGCTTCGTTTCCTAGGCACTCCAATAATATCTTCTAAATAATCTATTTTTCTGCCTGTCATCTCATTCACTCCTAAATAAAGGGAAGTTTAAGAAAAAAAATCAAAAGTTTTTGATGTCAATAAAAGAAATTCTCAAGAAATTCCTCTTCTAGTAGACTCTATAAGAGGAGGAAATTAAGATGATCATACATGTTTGGTTGAAAAAAAGGAGTACTTCTCTTGGGGACTAACTGTGGAGCTTTTCTGAAAAGGAATTTTTGAGGAATTCCGTTTTTCTGGTAGACTCCACAAGAAGAGATTGAGGAGGATTATCCATTTTCGGTGGAGTTCTCCTTTTGAGAAGTACAAAAGGAAAGTGTAGTGAATTTTCTCAAATGGACATTTTAAAATTTTGTAAATGGGGATCATATTGTCTGAGTACTGAAGTTTACTGTTCTTGATGAATGCTACGCAGATCAAAAACAACATGTCATACAAACATATAAAAAGTGTACCAATTTGGCATACTGTAACAAATGAAATAGTTTTTTCTAAACATGTGCCTTTCTTACATAATGCAAAATTTTGACCCTCACCAAAAATAAAGGCAAAAACGAACTAAAATGACCCAAAAACAGATGTTTTTGGAGATCATTTTGCAGGAAATTTTGCAAAGTTTTAAAAAAGCAAGGTTTAACTTTTGACAGAATTGAAATCTTGGAATTTGTATTCTAGGCTAAAAATAAACTATTCAAAATTATGATCAACAAGTTACCTGAGATTAAAGTTGATCCCATCTCTAGCCCACAGTTGCCAAGCTTTCTTTGTAAATGAAGAGATGGTTGAGATGTATAGTAGGATGGTTGGCTGACTACAGATTGTAAAGGAGAATAGGACTGTTGGATGTTATGTTGCTCAGAACCCACAACAATCTAAACACAATGAAAACAAGATTAATCTATATAAAAAGGAATAATGGAATATGTTAGTTCTTAACTAAAATAATCGGATAAAAATTATCAATAGCTCCAGTAATTTCACCTAATTCATTATTAAGAATGAAGTTCTGCACACAGGACGGGAAGGTTTTGGCATATATTCCTTGTAATACTGAAGCTATACAAATTTCCATTACAAACACTTTATTGTGTATTGATGACACTGAAAAGTTTGAATGATTTCATCAAGTGATATGAAATTTGCATAGTTGTGTAGATTGTCCTGCTTACTAAACCCTGACTTTGCTAAAATAAATCGTCCTTCAGTTGACAGGAAGAGAATTTAATCAGCTGTACAATTGCATGATTTATTATTAAATCCTTTTAGGCTAGTTCAGGAAAGAGTAGTAATTTAGTTATATTTAACCTTATCTTCTGTCAGGGATTCCCTGACATAGTTTAATTAGATGGGTTCACTACCCTGGTTCAGTGACTCAAGGAACTGCGCAGTTTCAATAAACTTTCTGTTACAATGAACTCAGACTGAGTGACTAACTTAGTCTTGAATATGGTAGATAATTCGCATAGTTATGTAGAATTATTGCTAGGGTATCTTAGGAAAAGCTCAGTTTTAAACATTATAAGGAACAAACCAATAGAATATTCTTTGGACATTTAAGAGGAATTGTGCTCTAAAGCATTTAGACTTTGCTGGGATGTGCCCAGCTGCAGATTATCATTTAGAATTTCATTAGAATTCAATTTGCATTTGAGCATTTGTTTTTGATTGACATTTCACATAAATTTCACTAGATGGTGATCACTCATTTGGCGTACCGTCCCATTTTGCCTCATATAGTCTCTTTGTACTGTACTGCTTGCCTTGTCAAGTTGAGATTCGGCCATAGTATATATTGATAGAAGTTCAGAGCCCAGGGCAGGGTATAAAACCAGTTTTGTAAATATCAATATTTTTGTAATGAAATATTTTTTTCATTTTGTTTATATTCTCCATTCTTTTTGAATCTCTTAACTCAAAATCTACACAAATGTTCAGACCCCAAAAAGAAAACTAACTCGGAAGTTTTGCACAACGAAACTCTTTGAATTTCGAGCTCAGTGTACTGAGTACAGCAGGCAAGCTGGGCTAAACTGTACAATTTTAGAAATATTGGGGTAGTTTTGTATGTATATTAAGAAAACAAGTTATTTTTCCAGTGCTTCCTTATTTTACTTTCATATTTTTTGTTTACATTTTAGGGGAAAAACAGCTTTCTATCTCTCAGATTATTTAGTATTGATGTGTATGCCGGCAAAATGCCTACTAAATATATGCCAAAAACAAAGTTTAAAACAAATCCCTTCAGATTTTGCCCCAAATTTTGGGAGATGATTTGGGTGAGTGTCTATAAATATCTAGTCTGTGGATTCGGCCCAGCACATGTAATGAACTAGAGTTTACAGTGATATAAATGGTCCAACCTGTGATAAACCTGGAGCACCAAATTCCTCATCATATTTTTTGGGTGCAGGTTTCACAACGAATCTGTAGATCCAGCATAATCCAGCAAATATACCCATCAGGCACATGCTCAAAAATCTTAATAATAAATTCTTTTAGCTTAGATCCAAACTGTTTAAAGCATAAATATAGTTGTTCTACTTACACTGTTAATGATTTCCCTTCATTGATATTGTTCTGTTCAATCCTAAAAATTCATATTCCAAACATTAGAATCAGTTTTTAAACCTTACTTTGCAGAAGCATTTGGTGCATTTTCATTAACTTATCATATATAATAGTTTATCGAACATTTTTCCATGTAAGCAATCAATGTTTAATCTTATGACAAAGCTAATTTTGATTATGAATTTGTCAATTCCAAAATAATGCAACATTTTTTAATCAATTTATCTGTCCAAAATCATTGAATATTAAATGAAAGCTGAGTTTTAGTGTTTTGAATATCCCTGTTATTTATGTAAATTGTTGAATCCATGTGATTTACATAAACATGGCCAGCCTTTGATCTGTTTTGAGAATCAACTTCAGGCTGTGATAAAAACCAATGATTTTTAATATTTTCGTTTTAAATTATAAAATTGAAAATACAATACTATATTATCAATGCTTTTTTCTGTAAGAATAATTTTAAGTGACCCTACAAGCAAAGATGGCAATGCCCGATAATTCCTATATTTTTTCCTGTAGTGGAAATGAAGAGAACTTACAATTGAACATATTTAGTTTTAAATATTATAAGCATTGATTTTTAGCTCAGAATTGATCAGACAAAGCTTTTAAGGGTGCAATTGTGAAATGGGCATGGCAATCTTTGTATAGAGGGTCACTTGAAATTACATGTACAGTCTTTTTAAAGTTAGTTGTGTTAATTTGGTTATTATTCCTTGTTGTTGTGTGTAATTTGTGAGACATTTTTCTTGATCATCTTCGAAACATCATCTAACTCTTTTTCCTTCTGTTTTGATTCTTTCCAAATATCGGCATTTCTGTCAACTCTTTCCCTTTCATCAGTCTCATTCTGTTTTGGAATGATGTTTGAATTTGGTAGATTTCTGTTAGTTTTGTTGTGGCTAGGTTGATTAGAAGCATTGTCAGGATAGTAAGAGAGTTTCCTAGTAGCATTGTTATTGACTTCTTTACCAGGCTTTGCAGATGTCTTGACTTCAGCGGTGGAGGTAAAATTCTTTTTCAGTGGCTGGACTTCCTTTCCCTTTACAAATTGTTTCAGAGGTTTAAGATATTCGATATTCTTTTCTGTAACTGTAGCAGTTGTATTAACAGCTGGTGCTGACTTTGCAAGATTGGTTGGGATCATGTTTTCTAATGTTTGTGTTTCAACAGGCATGATGTTTTTAGAGGGCTTGATGTTTTTAGAAGGTTTGATGTTTTCAGAGGGTTCGATGGTTTCAGCGGGTTTGATGTTCTCAGCAGGGTTGATGTTCTCAGCAGGTTTAATGTTCTCAGCAGGGTTGATGTTCTCAGCAGGTTTGATGTTCTGAGAGGGTTTGATGTTCTCAGAGAGTTTGATGCTCTCAGTTGGTTTGATGCTCTCAGTTGGTTTGATGCTCTCAGTTGGTTTGATATTCTCAGTGGGTTTGATATTCTGAGCGGGTTTGATGTTCTCAGCAGGGTTGATGTTCTCAGCAGGTTTGATGTTCTTAGATGGCTTGATGTTCTCAGAGGATTTGATGTTCTCAGTGGGTTTGATGTTCTTAGATGGCTTGATGTTCTCAGAGGGTTTGATGTTCTCAGTGGGTTTGATGTTCTCAGTGGGTTTGATGTTCTCAGTGGGTTTGATATTCTGAGCGGGTTTGACTATACTTGGTTTCTTGTTATCATTGCGGTTGATGGGACTTTGTCCATTGTTGTTTAACATACTGTTTTCAGAGTGATTTTCAGAAACCAGTTCAAGTTGATTTTCTTGCAAAAAGCCTTCGGCTATTTCCAAGTTATCCATTTCAATGTTGTCCAAAGAACTAATGCTAGAGATTTGTAGGGAACGAAGAGCAATTTTTGACATAGGTTCAACATTTGATGCCTGGATGCTGTGGAAAAGATCATTTAAATGCCTGAAAGGATTCAGAGTAATGAATTTAGATATTAATTTGAAGCAATGATTTACAGTTAAGTCAAAAGAAACTGAGCCACAAACTCTGATTTTCTAACTATGGGATATGATGTTAAATTATGAATTCTGTTGGTCTGAGAGTCCTAAGTTTAAAATATCAATGGTTTACACAATCAGGTTGCGAACATATAGGAATTACAAATTTGAGTATATGGCAACACTTCTAAATTTTAATTATTCATTACCTTGAATTCCTGGAATCCTCAATTTGGAGGGATTGGTTTTTCCATGTAGACGTCTTCATTTCAGTATTCTCATCATTCATGGAGATAATAACCTTTTGCTCCTGAACCATCTGGTGTCCTGATACTGGTCCCTGAATCTTCTGGTGTCCTAATTTTTGTTTCTGAATCTTCTGGTTTCCTGATATTTGTTCCTGAACCTTTTTATGTCCTGATATTTGTTGCACTTCATATATGTCAAAAGAAGATGTTTTGTAGCCACTTTGCACCCGAGTTGCATTTAAATTTTTTGGAATGGGGGAACGCATTTGCATCTTTTCATGTTCAGTGTTAACTGATTTCATTTCAATCAAATTCATATTCACCATTTGATGTTCTCCATCATTTGATTGCTGTCCATCAGATGTCAATGTCTCCAGAGCCTCATCTCCAGTTTGAATCATTGGATGAGAAATCTGCATCTTCTGATATTCCACTTTCTGGGTTGGTTTTTCTTTAGATGTTGATACTTCTGAAGTCTTTTTTCCACCTTTCATCAAGTCTGTTGAATTTACCTGATTGAGGTGGGTTACCTGATTGATTAATGACTCATTGCCTCCATAAGTCTCATTCATTTTCTGCAGATGACAAATAACCCCAAATTTTCAAAATGAAAAAATATAAATTAAAAATTTATAAATATATGAATATAAATCAAGCTTAGAATTTTGAACTAATATAAATATATTAGGTAAAAAAAAATCTTTGGCTGGTTTCCTTGTTTGCTTCTATAAGGAGTGTCTCTTCTGTTCTGTTTGGTAAAGAAAAATGGTGAGAATTCATTTCTAGAAAATTATTTTTAATTAAATACATAAAAGTATTTTTGTTGAATTAAATATAAATATTTGAATTTGAAATGATTTTATTAGATCTGAAATATATTTTGTTTTTACCACTTGTAGATTGATCTTGATCTCAATTTAGATACGTCAAAACTTATTAGAAAAATTATAATTGGAATTGGACTAAATCTTAAAGATTTAAATAATATTAAAGATTTTAAAGGTTAAATTAATTTTTTAGCCACAAAATCTGATTTTTTTTAACCCTATATCTTTGCAACTCTTAGTTGTAATGTCACTTGATCACTGATTTAAGTCGATTTGTCACTGTTGATGACTGAATCAATCAAATTGTCAAAGTTTAAAAAATTGAATTCTACGCCATTGGGAAAACAAGCTAGATGTTAGGGTTGGTGAGTTATCAGTTTCTATAGATAATTTTCGTATGATTTGATAAAGAATTAAGTCTACATATAAACAATGATACAGTTATAAACAGAAAACTCTGGAATAGGAAATCGACCTTTTTACTCAAGTTATGACTTTAGATAGTCCGATGAACATAAGGCACATCAAGTGTGCAGTGTAAACAAACAGGCCCAATTCACTTCTTAAGTGGATTAATAACTACTATGAAAGCTTTTTCTTTGTAACAACATCAAATACACTTAATTATTGTTTCAATGTCGTCTTCCTATTCTACAGTTCTTTAGTTGAACTGTTTAACTTTATGTTTCAGGAAAACCTATTGAGAATTTTTTAAATTATGAAATTTTTATCAAAATTATTAACAGACTGTAAGAAAAATCTCACAAATTTTTATAATTCTGACATTCTGATCGTAATTTCGAACAAAAAGTTTGTAATTTCTAATTTGCTCTCGGTGAGTTCAATATTAGGAACAACAAGTTTTTTAACAGTGTACCTTTAGCTTCGGTATACGCTGTCCAACTGAATATTTACTTCAATCCTTTAATTATAAATACATCTCCACTCTCCAGTTCCTCTAACAATCCTCCCATCCTAGATTCTAGAGGATAGATAGATAAATAAATACAGTAAGGTCTGGCATATATATTTCAAGGTCTGTAGCTGACTAATCTATATACCACGCTATAGTAGAATACTACGTTCAAGCTTTCCTTTACGTTAAAGTGTTCCAACTATTCACTAATTCATCCATATCCATATCCATATATTCTGCTCTACTCCCTCTCATCCATATAATCTGATTTACTCCCTCTCATTCATATATTCTGATCTACTCCCTCTCATCTATATATTCTGATTTACTCCCTCTCATCAATATATTCGTATCTACTCCCTCTCTTCCATATATTCTCATCTACTCCCTCTCATCCATATATTCTCCTCTACTCCCTCTCATCCATATATTTTGATCTACTCCCTCTCATCCATATATTCTAATTAACTCCCTCTCATCCATATATTCTGATCTACTCCCTCTCATCCATATATTCTGATCTACTCCCTCTCATCCATATATTCTGCTCTACTCCTTCTCATCCGTATACTCTGATCTACTCCCTCTAATCCAGATATTCTTATCTACTCCCTCTCATCCATATATTCTCCTCTACTCCCTCTCATCCATATATTCTGATCTACTCCCTCTCATCCATATATTCTGATCTACTCTCTCTCATCCATATATTCGGATCTACTCCCTGTCATCCATATATTCTCCTCTACTCCCTCTCATCCATATATTCTGATCTACTCCCTCTCATCCATATATTCTGATCTACTCCCTCTCATCCATATATTCGGATCTACTCCCTCTTATCCATATATTTTGATCATATTTCTCTCATTAATTCATTCTTATCTGCTTATCCATCTTAACCTTCATCTACTCATCCATTCTTTCTATTCTATCATTTCTTTATTCTATAATTCATCCTATTCTCCGATATTCATTCTTCTGTTCATTACATTCTTCCACATATGTTTTCTCATTCACTATATTCTCCTATATTCATCCTCCCAACTTCAGTCTGTATTTCGTTTTCATCATTATTCTCTTATTCATTCTATTTTCATATCCCCGTATTCATTCTCTCCTTCAATCTTTTGATTCTCTTTTTAACATTCATTCTATTCTCAATCTTCATTTTTCTATTCATCATATTCCATTTTATAATTCTCATCTTCATTTTCAATCATTCTATTCTTTAATCCTCCAATCCTCCTTCTTTAATTTTTTCTTTTAATTCTCCAGTCCCATATTCATTCTCTCATTAATTTTTATCCTCAATCTTAATTTACTCATTCATACTATTCACAATCTTCATTCATTCTATATTCTCCCATATGTATTCTCTCATTCATTCTATTCTCCCATATTCATTCTCTTATTCATCCTTTTCTCCCATATTCATTCTTTCATTCATTATATTCTGAATCTTCATTCATTTCATTCATTCTCTTCTTACGTATTCATTCTTTCAATCATTCTATTCTTCTATTCTCCCATTCATCTTATTCTTCCATATTCATTCTCTCATTTATCATATTCTACAATATTTATTTTCTCACTCTATTCATTCATTTATTCTTTTCTTTTTCTAGCATTCGTTCTATTCTCCTTATTCATTCTCTTGTTAATTATTTTATTCTATTATCCAATTTTAATTTTTTTCTTCAATAATTCAAGTCTTCCAATTTTATTTGTTCAATAATTCTATTCTCTAATCTTAATTTTTTTTCATTTTACACGTCCATTAACATATTCATGTGCTCAATTATTCTATTATTTTTCATCTTTAGCCATTTAATCATTCTTTTTTCCAATTCATTCAATCATTTTTTTCTTATCCAATTCAATCATTTTTTTCTAATCCAATTCAATCATTTTTTTCTAATTCATTTTCTAATTCATTTAATCATTTTTTTCTAATTTATTTAATCATTTTTTTCTAATCCAATTCAATCATTTTTTTCTAATTTATTCAATCATTTTTTTTCTATTTCATTCAATCATTTTTTCTAATTCATTTAATCATTTTTTTTCTATTTCATTCAATCATTTTTTCCAATTCATTTAATCATTTTTTTTCTATTTCATTCAATCATTTTTTCTAATTCATTTAATCATTTTTTTTCTATTTCATTCAATCATTTTTTCTAATTCATTTAATCATTTTTTTCTAATTCATTCAATCATTTTTTTTTTCTAATTCATTCAATCTATTCTTCACTTTTCATTAATTTTCTTTCTTTTAAAGGAAGTTTTGCGAAAAATGAAAAAAATATTATGAAATATCAACTATATACAAATGCGCCGAGTAAAATTCGATGAAAATAGATTGTCATATCTGAATGATTTGTTTGGAATTGAATTGATTTTTTTACGATCGGAGACGAATACTGAAACTTTCTGATTTGTATACGCATTTCGGTATTAGCCGTGTTTAACCATTTTCTTCTTATAGACGCAACAGATAGAAGTAAAATTAGTAGCGATCACCATCGAATACCTTTCAACTTAAGCCTATACCCCTTTCATTTTCTCGCGAAAACACCCTTTAACTAAAAAAATAGTTTGCAGCTTTAAAGGATTATCTCTAAAGATAAGACTTTGCTGCAATGTTTCAGATGTTTCTTTTTGCGATATTTTCTTAAATTAAAACTTATTATACACAGAGCAATTAACTAGGATTTGATAATTTTGGACACTCTTATAATTTTGCAATATACATAGCAGTAGTTTAAAATTGATTGTTTAGGTTACACTTACATCATTCCTATATTTTTAACTAAACAAGTGCTTATGTTTATATTTCTGCTGGGCAGCCTTTTTATTAGGTTTTTAAACTTTCAAGGTAATTTCTGGCTTTCAGAAGACTCCATCTTAAAATTGTGTGCCCTTATATTAGTTTACTTTCTTTAGGCTTAAATCTAGAGATGTGCCTTCGTTCAGTTGGTTCAGCTGGTTCAGTTGGTTCAGTTGGTTCAGTTGGTTCAGTTGGTTCAGTTGGTTCAGTTGGTTCAGTTGGTTCAGTTGGTTCAGCTGGTTTAGATGGTTCAGTTGGTTCAGTTGGTTCTTTTTCAAGGATTTTGTTATACTAAGCTATCGTAAGAAAAGGGAATGTTTTCTAAATTTGTTAATCTGAATATTTCCCTATCGGGGACAGTCAACACAAGAAAAAGATTTAAAGGAAGAAGGAGAGAAACGATGACAAGAATAATGAAATTAGAACTTTTTTCTACCAACTATATCCAATTTATAAAATTAAAAATAATAAATTGTGAAAAATTATTTTCCTGTCTATTATCTATGTCAAATATTTTCCTATCTATTATCTATGTCAAATATATATTCCTATCTATTATCTGTGTCAAATATATTTTCCTATCTATTATCTATGTCAAATTTATTTTCCTATATATTATCTATGTCAAATATATTTTCCTATCTATTATCTGGGTCAAATATTTTTCTATCTATTATCTATGTCAAATATATTTGCCTATCTATTATCTATGTCAAATATATTTGCCTATCTATTATCTATGTCAAATATATGTATGATCCAAAAACAATGCAAAAAAAATATAGTGCATTAAAGTTCGTTTCGTTTCCAATTTATTTTTGTTCAGGATAAAGAGATGTTTTAAAGTTTATTAAAAGCAAATTTTGAAATAATCTTGTAAGTTTATTGTATTTTGTTTGATAAGGATCCAATACGATTAACAGAACTACTTATATCTTCTTTTAAACATTTGCACAATTTTACAACAGCGACTTGAAGAAAATAAAATCTAAACTCCGTAGATTTGATAAGGTCTTTTAAGATGCAATTTTATTTATAGAAAATCATTATTTTTTCTAAAATGTGTAAAACAAAGTAGACGAAAAATTGTTTATGAATAAAGACCTTGATTTCTGACAAGATTATTTTTTAAATCATTGATTTCGTGATTCTTAAAGCACCGATTGCTCTTAACCTTCGAAATCCTTGGTCATGCAACAAACATTGCATTTCAAAATCCTAATTTCAAGAGAATAAAAAAAAAACTTCCTAAAGTAGAACAAATTCAAGGTTAAAACCATTTCACTTTAAGATCCACAGAGATCCAGAATTCTTTAAAAACTATGCACCAACTTTAAAGTGGGACATGGCATTTGCCCTTCGCTGACTCACCTATTCTTTTTTTGTAGCCCTGGACATGTTTATTTTAATCCTGCTTATTTCCAATTTGAGGTACTTCACTGGACACCGTCTGAACGTAAACGTTGAAACATTATTTCTAAGTATGTGTTCATAATTTTAAAATAAACTAGCTTTAGAGGGCGCTTCGCGCCCATCTTCTAAATTAATTGTGAACATGTTCTCTTTGTGTACATCGTAAAACAAAACAAAAATAATTCGCGGATTTTCACAAAAATTTCGCGGATTTTCAAAATTTTCAAAATTTAATGACGATCGAATTTTGATGGAGACAAATATTTGAAATTTCAATCATTCATAAACCTTCCCTGGGGTCCCTAGATGTCCCACAACAAATTTGGGCCCGATCGGTTCAGCCGTTTTGACGTTTATTGGATACAAACAGACAGACAAACAAACAGACAGACAAGCCAAATTTATATATAGATTACATAAATTTTTGCACGTTATTTTTATCCTGAGAAGAGTGCAGTCAACTTTAAATGGGAAGACTTTTTTATCATCGAAATTTATAAAAAGATCAACTTTCTCAAATAATTTGTCTTTCTTTTTTTTCTGTAGGAAATTATTGTTTTTGTAGAAATATTTAAATATATAAAATATTTAAATATATTTAAATATATAAATTAATAATAATTCAAATGTTTTTATCCGACGACACTTGGTAGTATTAGGGTTCCAGCGAAAAGGAAAAATCGTTTCGCGAAAACTTCGCATTTTTCGCGAACATTTCGCTTCATTTTCGCATGCGACAAAAATAATGAAAAAAATTTCGGGAAAAAATAATGCGAAAATTGAACGTATGTATTGTTGACGGACAGGCAGAAACTTAAAAAGATAGCTAATGAAATCAAATTCTCTTCAACAAACACTTATTAAAGTAAAGGAAGAGAAATTATATATATGACATAATAAATATGACACAAGTTCTTCTGAGCAATTAATTGTTGCAGCTATAAACTCATAGTTTTCACAAAAGCATTTCGCGAAAATGTTTTCGCATTTTCGCGAAATTTTCGCACTTCGCGAAAATATTATAACATTTTTGCGAAAAAATTGTCGGAAAATTTCGCTTTGTTTTTGCTTCATTTATTTTCGCAAAAAAATGCAAAATGTCGCGAAGAAGTTTTCAAAATGCGACCGAAAATTTTCGCCTTTTTTGCGAACATTTTTACGTTCACTGGAATTACAGCCCTAAACCGAACTCAACAATGTAAATTTTGGTAGATGCTAGGAGGTCTGGGCACCTTGGACAAACTTGGGCCAGATGCGTTCGATTTCTTCAATTTGAATTCAGTTTCGCTTTGATCTATAATTCAACAATCTTTGAACTTGCAGGGTTTTCTTATTTTTTTTTTACATTTAATTGCATCCGCCGACATAAAAGTGCAGAAGAAAAAACGAAAAATTTATGTTTACCTGAGCTGAAAACATTATAATGGTGGATATCGAGATTAATGATTGATCCTCTCTTTTTCTTAATATCGAGACTAACCTAATCTTGTACTTGTATCCTAAAAAGTGTATAAAATTCAACCAATCAGAGTCGCGTATATGAAGCCGATAAATTTGAAATTTTGCGCGCCATTTAAGATCGATATAAAGAAACGGGAGGAACTCTGTAATTAAAAAAACTGGTTTTTGATTTTTCTCTACTTTATCCAAGAATGAATGGTTTAAGAAGAAAATCAAAAGTGTGTCCATTGGATACTCAGATTAAGTAATCGGGATTAAGGATATCTCATTCTAAAATGTTCAGCTGAGGTCAAATTGTGCGCAAAAGTTCTTAATTGTTGGATTAGCGTATGGGCAAAGTGCCACTGAAGTAATTATTTAGTTAAGTAATTATTTTGATACATATTGGTCCGTTATTTTAACAGAGGTTTGCAATACCAAATCGACTTTGCTATGTTCTAATGTTTTTTTTTCTCTTTCATTTCATTTTACTTTAATATATACTTTTTCAAAGCCCTAGAAATCCTAGAAACAAACAAATTAGAACTGAACGCTCTTGTTTCATTGATTTATATGAAAAAGCGTAATTGTTTTACCCAAGAGCTCAAAAGGTTCAGAAACACGATATTAAACGCTGAACACTGAAATCTAGATGTGACTTTTGAAAGGTAAAAAAATTTCATGTCATGGAATTTGTTTTGAATTATGTCAAAGCCCCCTTTAATAGAGAAATAATTTATTTAGTGATAATTATTCACTCTTTTTATTCACCCCGCCCCCCCCCCTTCCTTTCTTTTTACCAATATGCGTGTTTATTAAAAATAGGCCTAGCTGAGTGTCTTTCACTTGCATACAGGGTACTTTTATTTTTCAAAACAATTATTTCCGCCATTTTTTTTATCTGTTAAAAAGGTAGTTAAATTATTCAAGGCCATTCATCTTGTCTCACTGATTAAAATACACTCGTAGAACTTTTCATATAATATTTATTAAAGAGAAATTTACAAACAAATTTGTAAGTAAAAAGTACATTTAAAAAAAAATGAAGTACTATTTTGCCCTGCACGATGGTAAAATATTTTGTTTAAATGCCATGCCGAGAAACTAGGTCATGAACATACATCCATTAATATCCTACAAATGTTAAATATTAATATTGAAAAGGGGTAAGGAATTGTAGGGGGTATTTATCATACTTTTTAATTATATTTTTTAATGTTAATATCAGGTTATTTATAGTGTTACTCGTTACATTTATTCTTATTAGGAAAACAAATCCGCTAAAAAATTTAGCACTAAATAGTCCTGTGGCAAAAGTCCTAAAAATGGTCTAACATTTGGCACTAAATAGTCCTGTGGCAAAAGTCCTAAAAATGGTCTAACATTTGGCACTAAATAGTCTTGTGGCAAAAGTTCTAAAAATGTTCTAACATTTGGCACAAAATAGTCCTGCGACAAAAGTCCTGAAAATTATTTAACATTTGGCACTAAATAGTTCTGTGGGCGTGGCAAAATGCCTAAAAATGAAAAGTATTGGAAAAAAGTCCTTTTCCATTTGAAACTTTATTTTCTAGAATTTTCCAAGTAGTTCCAAGAATCCAAAACCCAGAAGACTTGTCTAATTAGATTCGTATAAAAACAAAGGAGAAAATTCAAAATTGGGCCATCTAGCCAAAGAGTATCTAGATAAGGCGGCTGGAGCAGGGGGAGGAAGTTGGGGATGGTTACATGGCCCCTTGGTTTTAATTCTGGTTGTATATGGCAAACCAGACTTAAAACCACATAATACAATATGTTATTGATGTAAAACTTGAATCATACTAGAATATTGGCGTACCAAATCAAAATGCATTTACTTAAGCAATATTGATTAAATTAAAGCTGTCACCATGTTATATTTGAAAGGATACCCTCTCCTTTTATATCCTGTGATCCTGTCTTATCAACACATCCTTATCGTATTTGGAAAGCTAGAGTATCTAGATAAGGCGGCTGGAGCAGGGGGAGGAAGTTGGGGATGGTTACACTAGTCCTAACTCCTAAGGATTGGTAATTTTTATACTTTTACGACTTACAATTTGCGATCTGTTTTGGCACCAGCCTTGAAATAAAATTCTTTTTTTTTAATTACAGTTACATTGTTTGACAAAATAAGTTATTCTATACCTACAGTAAGTTCAACATATCCTCGATCAATTTCTATTGTTCCAATGAGGGAGGGGATGCAAGGCAGCCATGAGCCTCACAAAATAGTCTTTAAGCCTTCATATTCACATATGAGTATCTAAATTGACCGACACGTTAGATAGGCGCCCTGGGCGCGTTCCTGGTGGAACGGTCGTTCTTTCCAAGAACAAATGAATCAATCAAGAACGATCCCATCATTACGAAAAAAAACGAACGCTTAGAACGCATTCTTAAAAATATTGGAACAATTAGTAAAAGAACGGAACGGAACGGTAATTGCTTGAAAAGAACGGTTAAAATCGTTTACGCATTCTTTATCAAGAACTTGTTCTAAGTTGGGAACGCATTTTAAATCAGGAATGTTCCCTTCCCCCTCCTATCAATTTTGTACATGGATTTTACATGTAACACTCACCCGGACCAAATATAACACCCGGGCCTTATTTAACGTGACAGCGGTCTCTGCTAAACTGACAACAATCAGACAACAGAGCAAGTTTCAGTTTAACTTCTGTATATCGTACATATTAAGGATATTAGGACATATCCTAACGATCCCGCCCCTCCCCCCCCCTCTCACAAAATTGTACATTGCTCAGCCCAGAAATTATCTAAGCTTTTTCTTTTAACCCTAAATTTAAAATATAAAATTTAAAGTATTATTCACGGCAGTGAGGAACTTTTTATTGAAAAATCGTAATTTTTTTACTTTTTAACCAACTCTTTTTTATAAAACTTTTGTCTTGGATGGAATTGTTCCTTAATAAGAACGGAACGCAGATGGAAACGTTCTTGATTAAGAACAGAACAACCGTTCTTCAACTAAGAACGCCAAGAACGGAACGGGAAGACAGTTCTTCTACTCAGAACGGAACAAGAACAGAACGATAAAAAAAGGAACAAGAACGGAACGATTTAGCTGAAGGCCCTCGTTCTAGAACGGAACGGAACTATTACAAAAAAGTCGGAACGCCAGGTCATCTTAAATACTCATCTGCAAATCCAGAGGCTTGGAGATCATTTCACGGGGCTCGTGGCGTACCTGCACACCCTCCCTAGTCGAATACAGTGTTTAACCGTAATCATTAAGCTCAACAACAAGCTCATTAAACTTTATCTTTTATTAAAAAAACTGGATCCAGTAAGGTAAGGAAGGCGCCACACACCTGTTTTTTTTGTCGGCTACTACTGAAATCATGAAATGACGTCGAAAACTCAGCTTTTGACAGTTTTGATTTTTATTTTGTAGAAGAACATCTAATGAAGGTGGAGTAAGCATTGAATAATTCAGAAATTTTTTTTTGACAATTCCTAAAGCAAATCAATGCCATTAAGTGAACGTTCACTACATTAAAAATATTAATTTTTGAAAGACTCAAATAGAGTCCAAATTAATGACTAAAGACTAAAAAACTAGATTTTTAACTTTTCACACATTATAGTTTATTAAGACAGATTTTTTTCCTGTTTTGCACTAAGGTTTCTTTCCCTTAAGCATGATTGAGAAGGTATTCTGAAAATAGGAACAAAAAATTCGAAATCTCAGGGGGGGGGCTATGCCCCTCTCTGAATCTGACAGGGGGGGCGAATGCCCCCCCCCGGCCCCCCCCCTGTATCCGCCCCGTCTACGCGATCTGGACGAAAAATAGGCGAGGCACACATACGTTCTTTGCTAAATTCCCATATCTATGGCCGGGGACACCCTGTATAAAACATATTTATTAAATCAATATATAAATAGTTGCACATTTTGGTCTGTATCATTATAACTTTTATGAATATTTCTAGCAATAAAACAACATGGCATCACCTAAAATTTTAAAACTATGTTTTAAAACATATTAAATGCAAGAATATAGCCGAGAAGTTGACTTTGTGACGTCATTTGCGGTCTGCGCGGGCGAGAAACGGGTTCCATGTGCCTTCCCACCATCATTTATAATTGAATGTAAATTTTAATAAAGGAGTAATACTTTATAAATCCGGACAAGTTTCTTGATTTAAAAATAATCAGCAGGTTTTTTTTCACTCAGCTATTTATTAAAGGAACTGATTTCAAATAAAAGTTTCCTTAAGTGAAAACAAATTTTCGCCCAAAAATGCGCAAATTTGCTTGCTTACAAACTTTTGCGCAGAATTCCAGATTTTTGCGGAAGCAAGCGCAAAGGATTTGCAATACCGTTAAAAAATATCCGCAACATTATTTTTATAACGTGATATAGTTAAAATCCAGCATTAGAAGCTTTAGTATATTATATACAGTGAAACCCTTAATAAAGAATACATCGAAAGAATTCATCAAATGTCGTATTCTTCACTTTCTGATAATGGAATGTTGTAGATATTTAGTTTTTTAATTAAATGATTANCTATAAAATATATATTAGAAACACACTATAAAATATATATTAGAAACACACTATAAAATATATATTAGAAACACATCTATAAAATATATATTAGAAACACATCTATAAAATATATATTAGAAACACACTATAAAATAGATATTAGAAACACATCTATAAAATATATATTAGAAACACACTATAAAATATATATTAGAAACACACTATAAAATATATAGCCAAATCAAAGTTAGCCAAATCTAATGCTCAAAGTGCCAGAATGTTTAATAATTTCAAATTGACATTAAAATGTTTATTTTTTATAGTGAACTGTTACTGATCGACTAGAATAATTAATAATAAATTCCTTCTAATTTTTATATATACTTTGCTTGTATCTTTGTTTGTTTGTTTGTATCCAATAAACGTCAAAACAGTTGAACCGATCGGGCCCAACTTTTTGTGGGAACATCCTTATCAGCGGTAAGAATAGGAGTAGTAGGACTCGGCATAGATTTCTAAGTAATAAAGGTTGATGGTTTATTTTTGTTAGTTTATTTTGAAAATGTATTATGTGTATTATGTATTATGTGTGTTTTAAAATAGGGAAACATTCCCTTTAAAACTGGTTTATCTAGTTCTGAGGGTCAAGTATTATATATAATGACATAAATTAAAATAATTATAATGCAACAAAATTAAAACAGGTATCTTTCTATAATAGGGTTTACTCAATTTTACAATTAATTCACTTTTTAAATTAAAAACCAAATTCTATTTAATATTTTTAGTGTTATGTTTGATATGTTTTGAAGTTTGATTTATGTGATTATATAAATTATAATTAGATACATTGAATTTGACAAAACCTTCAAATAACAGCGGTATTTACAGGTGCACCGGGTTCCAAATTTAGATCAGTTATTAGTGCACTTTCAGCTGTAAAACTATACTTTGCTTCTCCTCTAGCAATATGACAGAGAATCTAGATTCAACACGTCAACTCATCCTTGGCAAGTATGTGTTAAGGTACGAGAAATATTTTTAGTTTTAATAAACAAACTTTAAAGGCTGACACATAAATCTCCCAGAGTCGATTCATTTGGTGTACCGTCCCGGATTACTGACTTACAGGCTGTATGTTTACTGTACAATGCTTGCTTTCACTGCTTAGAATCGGGACGGTAAAGCAAATGAACCAGAGTTTTCCAGTGCCGAGCTCGTCTAATGTTATCTTTTTAGATCTCCTTTGATGAAAATTCGGAATGAAAGGACAAGAAAACGATCAACATCTGAATCTTCAGGAATTTCATCTAGGATATACAAATCTAACCTAGGTGATCACAGAGTTGAATTATCCAGAAGTCATTCTAACTTGACTGTGAAGGATGACTTCAAGGATGTAGCTAATTTTGAGGAAACTGTAACAAAATCAAAATCAGCAGTAGGGATTGAAGAATTTGCTGGGATCCCCAAGGAGAACAAGTTTAACAACTTCAAACAGAAACTTATCCAGCAAAGTCCAAGATGCCTCAGGAAGTTGGGTACTCGAGGTACTCTATCTAGACCTAAACATGAAAATGATAGGAAACTCTCTAGTTCGTTATCTGATCTAAATAGTCCTTCTCTCTCTAGATCGGGAAAATATGTCCCTGTCTTATCAAATGCCTCTTCAGTCCATAGTTTATCTCCATTAATAAAAGTTCAGAATGGACGGACAAGAAAACGATCTACATCTGAATCCTCATGCATATCATCAAGAATATTTCAATCTAGCATAGATGATCATAGGTTTGGGCTGTCCAGAAGTCATCACTGCTTTGATAAAGACGAAGATGAAGACTTCAAGATATTTGATGAATTTTTCCGTGCAAAACAAAATGAAACTGAGACAAAATTGGAATCAGGAGCAGGGTTTGATGAACTCTCTGGAAACCCCAAGGAGAACAAATTCAAACATAAACTGGTCTTCAGAAAGTTTGGTATTCTTTCTTCGCCTAAACAAGAAAAAAGAAGAAAACGTTCTAGTTCACTATCCGATTTAAACAACCCTTCGATATCAGGATTGGGTTTTACAAGATTTTATCTTGATGTACCCGACATTACTTTGGACCATGGTGTAACTGACCGATTAGAGTTATCACAATTACCACAGGTTCTGAAAAAGAGCATCAGCAAACTTGAAATATTAGCTCAAGAGTGCGAGGCTATGAACGTACATTTAAGCAGCATAGTGGCCGAAGAACAGAATCTACTGCAAACTGCTAATGATCATGGATCTGAAGATCTACGCAGAATTGGATACCTAAACCTATCTGCCCAAACAGATATTCAGCGTGCCCGGCTAGCCTACCATGATTATAAATGTACGATCCAGGAATTTGATCGACTAATGAATAACGAAGAACGCATGATACTTGAGAAGGCTATAGAGCTTGGCATAGAAAGCCAGTGTATGTTTACTAAAGTTCCCTCTCATGCAATTGAGAGGATGAGAAGGAATTCAAATTCTGAAATAGAGTCAAACTATTTGTAATCTATAGATGCATCAGTGTTCGTTTGGTATCCGAATAGATTAAAAGCATTAAATTTGATAATTTTGATAATTCACATAATAGTTTCCGATGACCAGAATATTTCATTGATTTTTTTATGTGAAAGATGGATCCCATTTGTCAGGCTGTAACATCCGTCTCTGTTTACATTACCGCCCATAAACAGTACACGGCAGTACAAAAGATGCGTACACTTCTTAAATAACTTTCCTTGCATTACATCCTTGGATATAAAATTAAATTAAAAATCAGCCCATAAAACCCTCTTTCATTTTTTGGCGAACACCTTTTTTCAGTCTTCTTTACTGTGTCATCTTTTAAAAGTGATGCTGAATAATTTATTGATGTCTATCAGACATTAGTGAATCTAGAAAAAATTTAAAAGTTTAATTTCAAAATGTCAATTGTTAATGATTTTTAAAATGTCATGAACACGGGCTTGAATATTTTCAAATGTCATATACAGTGATTATCAGAAAACTCCGGAATTGGAAGACGACTTTTGGAGTCAAGTTTTAACTTTAAAAAGTCTAACAGCCTGGGAAATAGTAATTGTACAGTGTTAACACACAAATATCACTTAACAGTGATTTGATAAGTGTATTTTAAACCTATTTTTTTGTAAAATTATCAAATACACTTAACTATTGCTCAAAAGTCATCTTCTTATTCCAGAATTTTTTGGTCATCACTGTACTTCATGAAGGACCTTAGTGAAACTTTTTCAGATTTATGTAGATAATTTTTAAATTTTACTAAATTAAGTTTAACAGAGTAAAATAATGGAACAAATATAATACAGCTGAATCAGAACAAGAAATAAATGAAGACATTCTGCATGAGAAATACAAATTGCTTTATCAGTTTATGTTCAAAACTGCTTAGTACACTTTCAGGGGGCACGTGGATTTAACGGTTCTGTCAATATTTCAGAAAGCTGCGACTTTCGACAACAATTTAACCCCTTATACATAATTTTTTAACCTTTTTTCTAAAATACTTTTTTGTCGGCATATAAGTTTTGAATGAAAAAGTAAAAGATAAGCAAATCCGTAATTTTCAGGAGTGTTGAATTATAGACCAAAACACGTTTTATTTCAAATAAAAAAACCAACTGCTTCTCACTCTGGTTAGTTC